TTATTTTTCGTAATACTGTAGTGCAATTTACATAAATTCGTTTCATTAATAAAATGTATTATTAGTAATACTATTATAAGTAGAAACCGGATTTATATACTCTTATAATTCATAAAAAGGCATTTCAGAACATTAAAAAAAACACTGACAAACATTTAAAAATCCAAAAATGATAGAGGAGTCTAAAAGTCCCCCCCCAACTAATGTCTTTAACTTTTAAATTAAATTTCCTAGCACTACAAAATTGATTTATGCAAAATAATTTTTTTTTAATAAAATCGTACGTATTATAAAAAAAAATTACTTTTTATTAATCATTTATGTGGTGTTAGAAAATTGTATATTTATAAATTAAATCTGTTAGAAGGAAGAGTATTAAACCTATCTATTTTTTTGCGTTTTTATATATTTTTAAGTGATTTTTATCAAGGCTTTTTGACGGTTTCAAGTGCTTTTCTATGGATTTTAAGAACATATAAATCTGGTCTCTAATTATTAATATAAAATATATTGTTTTATACTATTATAAAGGTATGTATAATATAATATGAATCACTAATTGCAGAAAGGGGATATTTCCTATTTCTAACGAAATCGAATTATTACCGGATTTATATTTATTTACTATTTATTTATTAGGTAAATATTTTATGTAAAAATAGGACTAGTCCATCAAACCGGTATGGACATATCAACAGCTGAAGTTAGTGTTTAATGCAGTAAGGGCCGGGCAAGTAAAAAACTCGCTAAACTAAAATATCTATAAATAATTCAAATATTTTAAAAATTTTGCCACGTCTAAAAAAAGCATGTATAAGTTTTCTGTCAAAATTTCAAATCTCGATTATTTAACCAGAATTACAACGAAAAAAGCAAAATTGAAAACAATAAAAGCATTATTTTCATAACATTATCCGTTGTCTACGTTTCCTTCTCAATTATGCTTAATTATTAATAAAATTACAGAGACTATCAGAAAGCGATTAACTTACTCATGAACTAGATTAAAAATGAAACAAAAAAAGTAAAATTTCTCGTTCTTTCTACGTATTTTTCGGTCTTGCTCAATTATTAAAAAAAAAAAACGAAAAAAAAAATTAAAAACGACTTTCTTGGTTACAAACTAGATTAAAAATTCAACAAAAGAGATATCTTTTCATTTTTCGATAATATTTAATATTTCTGGTAGAAAACTTGTACAACAGAATTAAAATAGTAACGGTAAGTATTTGCCGTTTTACCTATAGTTTATTTTCAAGGTTTTCCCAGTTACTTCGAAAATCCATTAGAAAATCAAAAAATTACTTCCCCAATGCATCAACTAGAGAAAACTTCCTTTCAGAAAAGGTGCTATAGTCTATATACTTCGGAGCAAGTTTTCTGGTAGAAAAGTTGTTCAGAAACAGCAAAAACACAAAAATACAAAAAAAAAAAAAATCGCACACATCATAATAAAACCAATATAGATCCTTCACTACGTTTCGAAAAAACAACAAAATATTTTACAAATCAAATTATCTAAAAAGCAACTATACACCCAAAAAATTCCCATAATGAATTAAAATATTAATAATTTGAAACGTATGAAGGGGATGTGTCTAACAATTTAAAGTGGCTGCCAATGTTCATGTTAAATTTTGGAAAATATCGATATGATTCTTTTTTAAAAATGTGGATAATCATGCGATTTATTCATTTGTACGCCTAGTTGCTTCTCAATCTTGCCTAGATAGTATTTTTACCTTCTGTAAAATTAGGTTTTAGGGACATGTCCTCTTTCTGCAATTAGTGATTCATATGTATTCTTTTACGAGGTTCAAATTCTGGTTTAACTTTACGTTGTTAGGGAGTATAAATAATAAGTGATAAAGAAATAAGGGAGTTATAAAATAATAGTTGATATTTATTCTTCATCTTATTTGACGGACTCCAAACCAAACTGACAATCACAAGCCATGCCATCTTACCCTATCTTCCTCTAGGATTCGCCAATCAGCATTTGGTTCAACCCACCCCACATCTTTTGATACCTGATCCTTCTACCTCAGCGTTCTCAGCCTTGGTCTACCAAGTGGTCTTATGCCTTCTGGCGAGCCACATAGTATCTTATGTACAATGACTCTTTCCTTTTGCCATGCGTGACCAGCTCAAAAAGCCCCCTCTTTCTTATATCGTCGACTATGTTTGGTTTCTAATATAGTTCCCTAATTCCCACATTATATCATAATTATTATAGCTTAACAAGAGCTGGATAAAAACATGAAGTCTTTCCCACCGACAAATTTTTCTGACAACGGTAATGATATTAAATTTTAATAGTATTTGTATAAAACAAAACCTAAGTTTCTACATTTTGCTGCTAATTTATTAATAACATCTCTAACTGATAAATTTATGTCTTGAAAAATGGACAATAGTGTTTTAATAATAAATGGGTATTGGTATATACATATACAATATATAGTTCGGGCAAATTTCAGAAATGCCCGGGAAAAACGCGAAGTGTCCATGATACATGGGCAAAACGCCATATTTCGACTTTTACTCGGACAAACCTCGCTGTGATCAACCTCATTCGGGCAAATATGTAACGTCCATAAGTTTATTTTATAAACGGTTAAACAAATGTATTAAATAAACCTTATAATAAAAGTAACTACGGTTTTGGCCGTAAATTATATGTTTATTTTATGTTGTCGTTATATGTTAAAAACTAGATATTTTTGTGCAAGGGCCAATTTATTACTGAGGAGTGCGAGTATTGTAATATTATTAACACTGTACCCAACTGTGAAAAACTGAAATTTACGTTACAAATTTGCCCGAAATGCTGTCACATTTTGAATTTCTACAGAAATGATTTGAAGAAATTAAAATCAGTTATTGAATTTCAATAAACATTACAAGATAGAGAATCAAAATTTAATAAAACTCTTAACTGATAATAGTATTTTAACAATTCTTTTCTGCATCAATTTTGAATTTTTTTTTTTCAAAAAAAAATATGTGTATAGATTTGTAGTCAAGATGAAATGGAAAAATACTTAAAAAAATGTTCGACCTTTTTTGACGCACCAAAACTATATATTTGTGTAAGACTTTATGCATTAAATTACTCACTAGTATTATGTGCCATATTATATGAGACATATGGAGTTATAAAACAAAATTAAAATAATTACACCACATTATATTTAATTATTTAATAATTTGTGTATCAAATTTATCTGTTTTCATCTATTTTATAAATTATAGTAGGCAATTTTACCATTAGATAAAAGTACCTTACATTATTAAGTTTTTTGCGCTGAATTCAGCCATGTAAGAAGTATTAAAATTGAATAGTTTGTAAGTGAAATAATCGATAAAAATTAATTTGTGCCGTTTTTGGTACAATATGCAGAAAGGGGTTAGACGTTTTTTCATTTTATTTTGAATATATTTATTTTTAAAAATATGTAGTTAGCGCCAAAAGAAATCTAGAGATATTTATTGATATATTTGATTAATAATAATAATTATATGTTAAAGAAAAGAATAATTATACAAAACTATATTCTATACTTATGTATTTTTAATAAATACTTAGGTAGGTATACTTGCACGAACGTATAAATAATAATCTATTATGTTCTGTGTAGGTTTTAACAATACTATTTTTCAATAAAATACTTATATATATATTTTGAATATAATATGAGAATAATAGACATGTCTAGATAGCTAGGAAGGTAAAATTTGAATTTATAATTATGGGAAAATGAGAAAATTATAAAAATTCTCCCATTCTGTAGATTATAATTATTATATTAACATATTAACTTTAAATTAAAGAATTTTTCAAAAATCATGATCCAAAAACTTATTTAAATTTTGAAATTGTTATAATTATATATTAATCACGAGTAATCTTATGGCAAGTAAATAATTTGGTCCCAGGTTAAAATATCTCCGCAAAAATAACTCTGGTCAAAATATAGATATAATAGATATATTATATCTGATACAAAATAACTCCAATAAAAAATTTCTCCGAAAAATAAATATATCTCCTAAGAAATCTCTAGGATGAAAATCGTTATTGTTATTATTTAAATTCGGAGCGTGGCAAAAAATGTATTGGTTGTATACAACATGCGCATTTATTATTATTTATTTATTTATTTTTTTTTATGTCTGTTAACAACTCTTCTACAAGAAAATGAGCTTAAATTTAAAAGAGGTAAGAGACTTTTTATTGCATTACTTATTTATAACCATTACTTACGAAAAACGATTCTGAGCGGTTTTGTCTGAGTTTGGTCTTAGTTCAGTTGATAGTGATGCTTTTTTAACAATATATATGCCATATTACAGTAAAATAATTAAATAGACATTATAATAAATTATTTATTATTATATTTTCTTTCACAATACTTGTTTAATGTACCGATTTTCCCGGTTTTTCACATTTGTTGGGATAACGCTTGTGAAAATTTAAAGAAAAAATACCAGCATTATAAATCGGAGCAAAATTGCTGGTAGAAAAGTTGATCATAGGAAAAAAGAAGGCCGTAATATTTTTCAACTAATACCTACATTCCGTACATTTTCCCGTTTTTTTCTCTTTTTTTTCGGTTTTTCATATTTATTGAAAAAACTGAAAAATCGAAAAATAAGTTCTTATCACTTTAAGTGTACATAAAACCTAAAAACAATTAGTTGTTCATAGTGCGGTACAAAACGTAATAATTCTCATTAATCATCAAACATTTATTTTAATTTTAATAATAAACGGCATAAACTTATTTACATTTACATATTTTATTGATCCATAAGTTTTTTACAAACAACTTAACAACATACAAAAACAAACGAATGACGGAATGGAGATTGAATCGATTCCGAGTGAATTTATTGTACACATTTTGTACGAGAGCATACAATAAATATTGTACTAAATTATTTGCACCTACTCATTCGTTTGATACCCGTGGATATGCATATTGAGTCTTTCTGTATGTCTATCGTGTATTGGCTACACTGATTAGAAAGATGATGGATTTTATATGGCAACTGGTTAAGGTGGGGATAAAAGATAGAACGGGCGATAGAGAAGTGCAAAATGCAAAATTGTTTTTGTGGTTTTGTTCTTTAAATAATTTGGTAATATAATTTTTTGTCCGGTATCCGGTTATTTTGTTCATACTTCTCACATTATTGAGGAATTTGTTAACTATATTTAACCGTTGTATTATCGATTGATTGAAATGGTCGGGGTGAATTACGTCAATAGTGTCGTTTTAGTTCCATTTTTATGATGACTAAGGCTTGTGATAAAGGTAAGACATTTTGAACATAGCTCGATAATATCGTTAACATAACATTGAGTGGGCATTTGTCTACTAAAGAGCATTTTAGTTGTAAATTAATTCACATTAAATTTGTTCTAAATTCTTTTCAGTTTGCACAGGGAAACTATTTAAAATGTTAGTAATTGTTAAATTATAAAAGAAAAGTTAATTTATCTAATGATTTTTCCTCCATAGGTTACCGTTTTTTTGAATGATTGTTAGTACTTATTATTAGTAATGGACGAAAAGCTATTAAATGATTTGCTGGAGTGTTCAGTATGTCTAGAACGCTTGGACACATCAAGCAAAGTGTTGCCTTGTCAGCATACATTTTGCAAAAAATGCCTAGATGAAATAGTAGCCACTCATAAAGATTTACGGTGTCCAGAGTGTCGAACACTTGTTGAGTGCCGAATAGATGAGCTGCCACCTAATGTATTACTCATGCGGATATTGGAAGGGATGAAGACTAAAAATACAACCACAATATCACCACCAAAAAAACCTTCAGCTGTTGAATGTTCAGATCAAAGGCCACAAAAACCATCTAAACAGGTTATTATTTCATTAAATTATTGTTATTTATAAAATACTAGGTACTTAATTTACTTCTATCTGTAACATAACTAAAAATATGTTCAAATTAATAATTATAAACACACTCTTCTATTGATTGTTGAATTTATAATAATTAAGTAGTGTAAGTAACACTATAGCAAAATAAAAACAAAGATAAGTGTAATTTATGTATGAAGAATATCTACCCTAATAAAAAATATTGTAAGCTTTGTAACTATGGTTGAGTGACTTCAATAAATAATTTCAAACTAATTAATTCATTTATTTGTTGAAGTATAACTGGAAAATACTATAGGTTTTAGTTATAGTTGAACATTTTTACTAATTTAAAAAGTGTTTCTGAAAAAAATATACAACATTGTAAGATAAATAAAATGCCTATTAGTTAAAAGCTCTTTCAATATACTCAGAATTTAAAAAATATTGGAAAACACACATTCCTATTTATACAATTCAACCATGTATCTATTTAATATTATTTATTAAGTTTATTTCAATTAGTAAATGGGTACTGTATACTTTTTAGGTGCCATATCAACGTAATATGTTTGCAAGAGCATTGTACGATTACTCTTCCAAAGAATCTGGGTAACTATTTAAATTCATAATGTATGAACATTTTATATTTAATTCAGTTTCTAACTTAAAAAAAAGTAGTTATGTCTTATTTAACCAATGTATTATTTGTTTAGAGATTTAAATTTTAAAAAGGGAGATATGATCATATTACGACAAAAAGTTGATTCTAATTGGTATCAAGGAGAAGCGAATGGAGTAATTGGTATTTTTCCTTTATCATATGTACAGGTTAGTTAATTTTCAAATATTTAATATTTTGATATAGATATAGTGGCAGGAATAATAAAAACAAATTTTATTGATTTTAAACTATATTCAATGTATAAATAAATCATTCAAGAATATATGTTGTGCGAAAAACTGCATAATTTTCTTGTGTTTTTTTAGTAAATATCTAGATAGTAATAATATGTTGTTATATTATTTGGACAGTATATTACTTTTATAAACAGGAGTTATGTTATTAAATTAAAAATAAATAACTTGAAGTATTTTATTTTTTTTAGTTCAGAAAAAAATATTACCTTTAATATTTTTGAGGGGTAGTTTTTTAAATCTACTTTAGTGTCATGGGAAATTAAAAGAGTGTTTAAATTTAAAAAGTGAACTGGTTTCCAAAAATACATTTTTATCTACCTTTAATAATATTTCTTTATGTCCAAATTATATAATTTTAGTTCATTTATATTTGTTGATATATCTTGTATAAATAGGTATACTTCATAATTTGAAGTTTAAAAAAGACAGATATACTTCACATGATGGGTGGGCCACTGTTGTAAGTTAGAAATTGTGAAAAAAGGGGAAATTTAATGTATATCTGTACTCAAAAATTAGTCATTGATTACGAAAAACAATTCTAAACCGAGTTCAGTTATAGATGTTGTTTAGAAAGGCCATAATATTTACGATTTGAAAATAATACATTTTGTAGATTTTCCCTTTAACCTGGTTTTTTCTATTTATTATAAAAACCCTGAGAAAATCAAAAAATGATATATCTAAAGTACTACCCCAGTCAGATTTCCTTTATAAAAAAGTGCTATACTTGAAAATTGGAGCAAAATTTCTGGTTTAGAAATTCACAAAAAAAACTTAAAATCAATACATTTTTTTTAACTTTGTTCAGAATCTCAAATTAATAATGTTATTCACTTTATAAAGTAACTGCATACAAATTGATCATTATATATTTTATAGCAGTATTTCAAGTTACAATTTTTAATATTTTTCACCCATTTGCAATTAAATAATAAACATTTGACCTCTTTGTCAATTAGTTTTCCATTTACCTAACAATTTTAAATTAAATAAATTGATAGCTTGAGTAGAATCTTTCTTTAAATTCATTATTGTATTTGTATAGAAAACACTTGTGAGAATAGAATCTAATATTATACAGTGTGATCACGATTTAAGGTAACACTAAATATCTTTGGTGAATGACCTTGTATTGAAATGGGGTTTCCGGGAGGTGATAGGGAGTACCTAAATACATATTTTCAAATTTGTAAAACTTTTGGTATGCGCATGCGCAATACAACTTACATTTTTTTAAATGGAAACACTATTTTTTTCTACATATTCGGATAGATTATTTTTTATTTTTTGTATTCAAAGTTTTTTTCTATTTATAAAACTGACCAAGTTAGAGTAATTCAAAATTTGGATTTCTGTATAATTCGTGTTTAATGAAATTTTTATTTAAAACCACTGGAAATATTAAAATAATTGTGAAATAATTAAACATTATTTTTAGTGTATGATATTTCATCAACTGTATTAATTAAATGTAATACAAAATAGTTATAATGGTAATATTAATATTAATATTATAATAAAAAATAAAATGTATTAAATAAATTATGTTCTAAACATGATTCAAGTAGTCTCAAAAATTCAGTCGAAGTTGCCGCCTTGATTTACTCCTCACTTAAAATATCACATGCTGTCTGAAGATTGACAGGTGGATTTGCATAAACCACAGTCTTCAAATATCCCCATTAAAAAAAAATCTAGTGTCGTCAAATCTGAGGATCGTGCAGGCCAAGGAACGACGCCATAAGTACCAATCCAGCGGTTTGGAAATATTTAATTTAAATATCGTCTAACAATAATTGCATTGTGAGCTAGTCCTCCATCTTGCTGGAAAAACATACGGTTCCGTGTGTCTGATGAAACATCATCCAACAGTCTTGGTAGTTCGTTGGTTAAGAAATTGAGATATAGTCTGCCATTAAGCGTACCATCGTAAAAGAACGGTTCTATTAGCTTTCCATCAACTAACCTATATCATACATTAATTCCCCAAACCGTTTGAAAATTAGTTTCACATGACCAGTGTGGGTTTGTGTCATCAAAGCATCGATGATTTTGTTTATTCATAAAGCCATTGTTAGTGAGTTTTGATTCATCCCTCCAAAGAATATGATTGACAATTAAAGGGTTATCATACAATTTAATATAGAACCAAGCTGTACATTCTAACCTACGAATAGAATCTCTTGCACACAAATGTTGGCCAAAATCGATTTTATATGGGTGCATTTTGTGTTTTTTTAGAATTTTTTGAACATAACCATATGAAACTCCAATTTCGCGAGCAACATGCCTAATTGACGAACGTGGATTACCTCTTATGTATGCTAGTACCTGTAATTCTGTATCGTCATCAAACATATTTGCTCTACGCCTTTGTTAAATTATTTGTCTGCCAAGAAATCTTCCTTCCTCTTTTAACCCTTTTAAAAGTCGTAAAACATAATTATAAGGTGGATGGTACCTTTCTGGGTATCGTTCAGCATACTTCATAGCAGCTAGGCGTACATTACGTTGACATTCGCCATAAATTAAAACCAATTCAACTTTTTCAGCATTATTCATATTTAAAAAATTATAATTTATAGGAGCACTTAATAACCAGACATCCACAGATAACGCACACACTTTAGAACAGGTCTAGTTACAGAATAAAACTAAAATTATAATTTAAATCAGACTTAAATGCCTTATTATCTAATTATCTTATCGTTATTAGAGCTATTGTAAAATAAAATAAAATTTCACTATAAAATAAGTTAAAATTGTAATCTTATTATTACAGTTTACTGAACAAAAATTATTACATATTCGAGATATTCATTCTAGTGACCAACAGTATTTTTAAATTATTATTTGTAAACAGAAAAAGTAAATTGAACATTTATTTCACAATTATTTTAGTATTTCCAGTGGTTATAAATGAAAATTTTATTAAACACGAATTAAAAAAAAAAATAGTGTTTCCGTTTAAAAAAATGTAAGTTGTATTGCGCTTGAGCATACCAAAAGTGTTACAAATTTGAAATTTATTTGAAAATATGTAATTAGGTACTCCCTATCACCTCCCGAAAACCCCATTTCAATACAAGGTCATTCACCAAAGATATTTAGTATTACCTTAAATCGTGATCACATTGTATACATAAAAAAAAAAACGCAATAAGATCAGGATTTCGTTACTAAAGTCCAATTTTCCCCCACCTATTTTGTGTTGTAGGAATATTCTTTATAAATAATCAGATATTTTAATAATTAGATATATTATGAATCCTGATTTTTAAGGTTGAACTGAACTGAACTAAATTTTTAAAAAGTAAAAAGATTAAGTTAGGTTAACCTTTACAACCTTTATTAATTTATAATTATGAGAAAAAATAGAACTTTTATTTTTCATAACAAGGCCGCTCTATCCTACCACAGAACATTATGACCGCAGAATCTGCATCAAATGATTTTCTAACCAAATTATTGGATATTTGATTCAGTTTGATTATTTGCAATTTTAATTTTGATTTTTGAACCGTTCATTACATTATAATACAATACTACTATTCTCTAAAGATTTTGATTAAATTTGATTTATTTTTTTTGTCATTTTGGTATTGTTTGAGCTTCATTTTAGCACTATTTTAAAATTACAACTCCCTTTCCCTTTTAAACACAGATTTGAATAAAGAATATTTTTCTAACCATTTTCATATTCATAACCCTTCTATCAAATTTACTGCATTTTATAAATACATATCATTGCAAATTTGCATTCAGTAGGAACAATTTTTGCTATTATTTTTGATTCTGAGTGTAGTGAAGAATATATTAATTTTACAATGATTTTTTTATAAATATATATACTGTGACAAAAATATCTACTAGAAACCTTAATTTGGTATGTAAGTGTCTGTCGCACCATTTCTAATGAAATTTTGTCTAGATGGTATTTTGGGAAGGATATTTTCTGATTTTTCAAGTGGTTTTCATAATATTTGGAAAACTGAATAAAACTTAAGAAAAACAGGAACATTTACAAAAATAATGCTTTTATTATTTCCAATTTTATTTTTTGTTGCAATTCAATTTAAAATATTTGTATGGACTTGAATTTAGGCACAAAATGTATGTTTTCTTTTTATAGAAGTGGTAAAATGTTGAAATATTTTTTAGCTATTTATGGACATTTTAATTTTGCAAATTTCGTAAGTCTTTTTTTATTTGGTAGGTACTCTATAATAAAATTGTTAGACTAAACTGAAATTATTGAAAATTTAACAGGATGTTTTGAAATTCTGATATTATTTGTGTTAAATAACTCAACATTGTCAGTTGTGTAGTATGTGTATAGTGGTGGTACATACATACCTATTGTCATCCTAGATATCAAAAGTTCAAATTTTAATTAAAATATACCCCTTGATTTTTTGTGCAAACTTTCCTACCAGCAATTTTACTCTGATGTGTGTATCAAGTGTAGCACCTTTCTGAAAAGAAATTTTATTTACACAGTAATTGAGAGGCCATTTTATAATTTTTCAAGCGGTCTTCATAATACCTGGGGAAAACCTGAAAAAAATATCAAAAAAACAAGAAAATTTACAAAAATAATCCTTTTTAATTTAGCTAAAATTATAAAATTGTATAATAAGAAAATATTTTTAATAACTAATGAAACAATATCTATTTACTGTGTAATTTCATTTAATCGATATATTTCCGAATCATTTTTCATTAGCAATGATTTATCTTTGCTTACAGGTATACACTAAATTCCGCTCCATACCTTACCTTCCTAGCTTTTTATCTATAACAATGGTCCACCCATCGTGCAAAGTATATTCGTCTTTTTAATATTTGAGTGAAATGACCTATTATGAAATTTCTTAAGACACTATCTATATTTTAAATGCCTGGGGTTTCTTTTTACATAGTTAAATCTTTAAGCAAATTAAAATGTGTAGATAAGAAAATCACATCCTCTTAAGTACTCAAATCGTTGATTTTCAAAGAAAATCAGTAATTCAATTATTTATTTATGACACAAGACTATTTTTACCATTTAATGTAAGTGTACATAAAATAACAGTTTTAGTGTTCATCAATTCTGTTTGTATTGATTGAATTAATTTATAAATTTATTAATTATTTTCTGTTAACATTAGGTTTTTCCAACATCACTTCCTAGTCATATACCACAATGTAAAGCATTATATGATTTTAAAATGAACAAAGAGGATGATGAAGGGTGTTTATCATTTTCAAAAGTAATTGATTATAATTTTATATTAAAATTTTTTTTAAAAAAAAAGTTAATTATCTTATTAAATATTTAATAACAGTTGTTTATTTCCTAGGGGGATGTAATAACAGTTATGAAGCGGGTTGATCAAAATTGGGCAGAAGGAAAAATTGGCAATCGAATTGGTATATTTCCTCTATCGTTTGTTGACTTAAATCAAATTGCTCGTGCATTAATGAAACTCTCTAGGTAAGTATTTTAAATATATCAAAAATGTGTAAGTCGTAATTTGTTTTTAATTTTATTTAGTTCACAACCAATTCAAAGTAGAATTGCTCCCCCTACCCCTGAAGAAGCTCCTATATTATCATATGAAGCATCGGGTATTTCTCAATCACCTAACACCAAACATAACGTATCAGATGAAGCAAAAACTGCATCAGATAATATAAAGGGAATTGGTGAAAATATTTCATCGCCATCTTCTACAGCTACCCCATCTCCAAATACTACTTCTCCATCAGATACTTTATCCAGTTCATCAAGTCATTCGCCTTCACATGCTGCTTTTGTTGATGTCGCTACAAATCGTTCTTTACCAACATCTAATCCAGATCCACCTAAACGTCATAGTTTTACAAATGGTGTTGGGCCTGTTTCATTAGCTCCGCATTTACCAGAAAACAAAAGGCAAGTTAAAAATTATTTAAAAATATTTCTTCAAATCTGATAGCTAGAAATTATTTAAAGTATTGTGTTTCATCAATGACAGTGGTAGCAAAACTTTTTTACCGCAGGCCATAAAAAAAAAAAAAATTGGCGGACCTGAAATTTGAAATTTGCGTTTAAACTGTAGTCATTAGAATTTTAGGTATAGGTATGTAATTACATATTTAATGACGTTTTAAATCTACTTACTCATTTTAATGGCTTTATTTAATCCTTTATTAATTTACTTAATTATATCTACAAATAAAAATGTATATTTATTTAAAGTATACAAAATATCAATTTACACTTACAAAAAATATTTTTAAATTTATTTATTTGTTAATGTGAATTATGAGCTTGTTTCTGTTGACAGGCGACATCAATATTAGGTTCTAATTTCATAGAATTTACCTGGTACTGGCATGAAGATATTCATTTGTAATTCAAGATTAAGTTTTATTTTTATAGATTTTCATTGTTGTAAAAATACTTGTTTACAAATATGTGTTGAACCAAATATACAACACTTCTTAGCTGCAAACTTCTGAACATTTGGGAAACCTTTAAACATATTTGAATAAATTGAACAACATTTTCAGAGCTTGAAAAATTATTAAATGTAGTTTTTAAATAATTATTAAATTGGAGTTCTATAATTTCTAATTGTAAAAAAGCTTCACCAATATCGGGATTTATATTAATTGGATTTTAAAATAGATTTATATAAGTTTTTCATTTGATCAAATGTCTTTAAAACAATTTTCAAATTCATGAATAGCACGTTTATAATTTTTATAAGAAGTAATTTTGGAAATATACCAAATCTTCTGTTTTTATAGTAGTAAAACATTCAAAATGAGAGAAATCAAATTCTTCAATTTGATTTAGGAATAAAGATAATTTATTTTGGAAAGCTTTTACTGAATCAAACATAGTACTAATGAGGTTTTCTTTTCCTTGTAATTTTAGATTTAACAAATTCAAATGATTTGTTATATCTGTAAATATTGCTTAATCTCAAAGCCATTTATCATCTTTTAATTGTGAATATTGTTTATATTTTTTAGGTAAAAAATTGTTTCGACATTTTTTTTTTTTACTTGGCCTTCGTACATTACTATGGTATATAACATCTTTATACTCAGACTCTATTTCTGATAGAAAATTTTGAAATTGATGATGATTCAATCCAAATGATCTTATAAAATTAATAATTTGTACAATAGACATAACATTTTTTAAATCTAAAACTTTCCCACCTAATGCTTGTTGGTAAACAATGCAATGAACTCCAATTGGCGGAGAAAAATTTAGTTCAGACATTTTTGAATTTATTCTTGCAATAAGTTCACCCTTAAAGCCTATCATAATTTTTGCACTGTCTAAAGTAACACTAACAATATTTTCAAAATTAAGACCTAGTTTTTCGAATGTATTTTATAAAGCTTTGATTATATCTTCTCCTGTTACCACTCAAACTCTCCAACACTCCCAACTCTTCTGTTATTTCAAAATTTGCATTCACATCTCGTAAAAAAATTAGGAGTTGTACCGTATTTTTCATATCTGAACTCTCATCCAGTGCTATTGAAAAATATTAAAATGTTGTAATTTGTCTTGCACTTGTTCAAAAAGATTAAGTCTAAGATTCTATTCTTCTAGTTATTGTTTTGCGTGACAAACTAACTTGTTCAAACATTTTTTTTTAGGATATATTTCATCAATAACATGTAGCATACACTTCTTAACAAATTCTCCCTTAAAAAAAGATTTACTTTCTTTGATTATTAATTGAGCGACCAGATAACTAGCACGGACAGAAGACACATTTTGTTCACATTGTTTCTTAAATATATTTTGTTGAAAATTATGATTTTTTTTCTACATATTATACACATACCTTTATTTTGCCATTCTATAAAAAAGTAATAGTCTTCCTACTGATTTTTAAAAATTCAAAATTTTGAATCAATTTTTCTTTTTTTTTTTTTAAACATAATGAACTTTCACAATACATAACGACAACGTAATAACAACACTAATTTTATATTAGTGATGTCCTGACGGCAGACGAATAATGACTGTGTGCTCGTACAGAACAATTTTATTACGTATTGTTGATACGGTAATATTATTTATATTATAAATGACGTTGTGACAAAAACGCTACGGCACAGCAATACAGGATTTTGAACCTGTTCTAGACTATGAGCCATTTCCATTTATCCGATTAACAACGTAAATGTCAATAAGCAATTAAAAAAACTAGGAAATATTTAATTATATTTTAATACATTATTTTAAATATGAATAATGTATTTTTTTTTTTTTTTTTTACGTAAAAGTAAAATATTATAGATACGCAAATAAGTGCTGTAATGTAGAATACTTTCGCGTGCCAAATAATAAATGATGGTGGGCCGGAGTTGGCCACTGCTGATCTATGATATAATTCTTAGATAGTATCCATGGTCTTTCATTCCATTCTAGTGCATATTATGTTATATTTCATTTATACATAACATGTTTCTTTCCCTTTCCAATTTCTTAGTTGTGCCTTTAGGCACTAAAATGTTCTTTTGTATTGTATATGACTATAGTGACCTCCTATATTTATAAAATTGAGTTTATTGTTAATATGCAAGTCTCATAAATAACCTCAACAATTTACTCATGTGTGTTGTAGACATTCAGCTGAGATTTTATCACAAGATGATATTGCTGTTTTTTCCAGTCCAAATGCTAATTTAGAAATACCATCTAATCAGGTAAATTATATTGTATTAATTGTACTGATTTAATTATTATGCATGCAGTATTTAAAAAATTAAAATGAATGATTTATTTTTTTATATATATATTATTTAAATAATAATAATATCACTTTATAATATTATAATACTAAATAATCTCTGTAATCCGACTCATTTTTTTTTTTTTTTTATGTATAACATATAATGTGATCAATTTTAAAATTTAGTTCTCAGAAAGGATAAGAGTTACTGAAATACATATTTTATAATAAATTTTATTAACACTTCTTTTAAACAGTTTTTTTTCAAGCTATTTTGATCTACACAATTTGTTTTATTTTTTTTAAAAAAGTTTAATAACTTCAGTATAAGTATTTTTTGAATTTTATAACCATTTTATGGGGAAAATAATAGTAATTACAGGTTAATCATACACATATGGGTGTACTAAAAAGTAACCCAACTGATATTTTAGGAGGGTGCTAAGGTTTTGTAGTATCAGGTTTATGCCGGTAGGGGCATGTAAAAGTATTTTTTACCAGTGTTATATACACCCTATGTTTTGTTTACACTCTGTATAATTTATGGTATAATGTATAATATTATATTTAATAATCTGTTGCGTCTGCGCCTGAATACAATCAATATGGGAATGTCCAGGCCTGTAGGTTTCTCGTGGACTCAGCCGGTTTCACTGGCTGTCCAGGGGACGGGCTTCTAAAGGTGATAGAGCCTAAGTCAGTCGGAGTCTAGACAAATGAACAAACAACCATCAGAGCATTCATTCATTCATTTTTACTTTAATTATTATTTAATTTTTAATAAAGTGATTTTTTTATAAATATAAGTTGTTCACTTTCATTTAACAAAAATTAAAAATAACGTACATTGAATTCATACATTCCCAATCAATATGCTAACTGTCATTATTGTAGAACATTTTTTTTCTGTTAATGTAAATTTTTTTTCTAATTGTTTGTTTTGCGTGTTTATCATTTTTAGCTAATTTTTGTAAACAACACTCAGCCGTAAAATTTTACTTTTCCTGCTTGGGATAACTGACATTTCTTGAAGAGTTTAGTATAGAGAATTTTAAGTGAAGATTAGGGGATGAGAAAGGTAGTTGCATAATTAGTTCTTTAACAACCCTTTCTCTGTATTGATTTTTTACCAAAAATGATATAACCACTGTGCCCCACCCACCCTGTACACCCGATCTTGCCACCTACGACTTGTTTACCTCGTGTTGTTGAAGTAATGAAAATAACAACAGTCTCTGTCAGGCATTATTAAAGAGACATTTTTAAATGATTTTAACAGTAGAATAAAAGATTGGTCAAGTACATTAACTCCAATGGAGAGTACTTGAAAGAGATAACATGTATTTTGTAGATTAATTAAATAAATAATATTGTACAAAATATATTATGGTTTCTTTTGTGTATTCTCGCATGCATAATGTTAACATAAAATTAATACTTAAAATATATACATTACCTAGGTTAATGCAGGATAAAGTATAAATAACAATTTACTTTTTTATGGTTGTTAGTTTTGATTATTTCGTATTAATATATTGTTTATTGTAGTAAAATTTTACCTTGATATATATTTTATTTTAGGCTAATGGAATGAAAGATTCTAAACTTCATCGTCATGGAAGTCTTAGAAGTCACTCTAGACCAATAGTTAACCAAAGCCTGAGATCTAAAGTACCTCTTCATCTACCAGCAAAGTGAGTTTTTAAATTATTAAATTGTTACAATTATTTCAGGACGATTAGAAATAATACAAATATGTTATATGAAAAACAGAATGGTTTTTAAATGAAACCACTATTCTTAGGTTATTTTACGTTTATTCTTAACATATTCACATAAATACTAAAATAAATACTTGTTGATATTTTATTTACAATTCTTATACTAATAGACATGTCATCATATTATTACATTTCCATCAAGATTTAAGGCTTTTGGAGCCGGTTTTCCATATTTTAGAATATTTTTTTTCTCAAAATCGTTTATTATATTTGAATTACCACCTTAAAGATAAACCTTTTCACTTATCTACTACCTGATAACACTTAGGGTATAGAGGTATGGCTATTGTTACAAATAAAATTGACTTCATATGAAAAATGTATGCCTCGTAGAACGCTTCAATTTTAATTTTACAACTCATTGAACTTTGATTTTGGATTAATCTGTATGTTATGTCAGAAAAAGGTTAAAAAATAACAAAAATTGAAATTTTTTAGATGTTTAATACAATTTCTGTAAATTAAAGTTGAATACTTTCAGTAAAAGTTCTTCCTCTTTCAAATAAATAAAAAAGGTTTGAGAGTTTTCCCGCAGGGCATGTTTTTTTAGAAAATAAACAGTAGCTCTGACAGCCTAAACACTAAAAGGTATGGTTTTGTTACTGCAATTGACTTCACTGTTTCTTAAGACACATTTACAGTTGACTACAGATTTCAGCAGCTTCTAGCCACATTGCCACAGTTCACTTCAATAACAAAACCATAGTTTAAGTGTTGGCATATTAAATGTTTTGGTTGTTGTGTAAATTTCACGATATCTAATTTTATTTTTAATTAAAGGCACGTTGCTTTATACCCATATAAACCTCAAAAAGGTGATGAGCTTGAATTAAAACGTGGACAGTTGTATATGGTTACTGAATGCTGTCAGGATGGTTGGTATAAAGGGACTTCATTGAAAACTAATTGTTCTGGTGTATTTCCTGGAAACTATGTGACACCTGCAAAGTAAAATCTTATTACTTAATGTGCATTTTTTTAAAAAAACAAAACGCTAATTATTAATATTTATTAGAATATCTGTACGTTTGCAAAGTGGCAAATCAAATTCTAATTCATCATCAGTTCACGAACAAAAAGAAAATAATTCATCATTTAATGGCCAAGGAAATGGTAAAATATACTTATATTGATTTTCGTAATTATAATAATTTAATTTGTATTTTAGTATTAATAAATGTATAATTACTAAATATTATATTTAATTTAAAATTTGATTGTGTATTTATTATTATTTGTGTAGAAAGTTTTCAAAGTGAAATAGATGAAAGTTTACCCTTATATCCACCACCTGAACTTCCACCACGTAGCAGTAGTCCTTCTGTACACAGTCGTGTATCTAGTTGGTTATCTGAAATGCCGTCAACATCTTCTCGTATTCGATCAGCACCTACTCACAGTGTAAAATCTATGTGTTGCAATACAGGTATAATAATATTATTAATACTTAATGTAAGTTATATATTATTTAAATATACATTTTTCATTGATAGCTTCATCAAATTCAGTTAAACCTATATCTACTTCACATGATAGAGATCAAATTGCTGCTGGTGCCTCTGCTTCATCCACTGCTTCTCCATCACATTCCATAAGTCCAGAAAATGTAAACATATTATAGACATTAAATCCTATGGCCATTAAAGTAATAAAATATTCTTTTGTTATTCTAGTTGGCTCAAAAACGAGTAAGGAAAAAATGTTTTCTTACAAATTCAGTGATGCGTAGTTTTTCCAATATAAAAATTAGAAAATCTCCTCCCCCTGTGTATTCTATGGATAATCCTGTATTTGATGATAATTCGTCCAATAATGCTGTAGTTGCATCATCTCAACCTCCAGTTCACACTAGGTAAGAAGATGATACATATTAAGTAATACCTAATATTTTTGTTGAGTGTATGGCTGTCAGTCACGCTTTATTATTGTTTTATGTACATAGCACTTACTTTTGTGTTATTGCTTTTGCATGATTCATTTAAGATCTGATTCTTGTCCATCAAAATTATTGAACGTAGATGTTATACAAAGAACCCATGATCAACTTCCATTAAAAGTCAGAGGAAACCATAATTTTAAAAGGTGAGGAAAGAATATTATGTTAAGAATGGAAGCTTATATTTTATTTTTAATAACATAATTTAATGGGGTATATTATAAAATTGTAATACTTTGCTAAGATCATTATTATAAAAATAAAATATCAGTTTTTACTACTTCTCAGCTGATTTATGTTACCAAATTTTAGATTCTGAAAAGAGCAAGGAAACATGTTTCAAAAAAAAAAATTGTTTGCACTATCAAAAAATACTCTACATTTCATATAGTTTTCCTATTTATCTTGAAAAACAAGAATTTTTTTTACCTAACATTAATTTTTACATTAACCAAATTGAATGTTATTATATACAATTAACTTCCTAATTTCTTTACAAATTTTAAAATATTTCAAATGTTTATTAAGTTTGTCTACTATGATTTTTATTTCCATGGTTAGTAATATTGTTTATTTTGTACTAATATTAGTCAGTTCAGATTTACCAATGATATGTCAGTTGAATATATCAAGTCCGATAAATCATATTTAAAATTGATATATAATTTTAACTATAATTTTAATTTTAACTAAGATTTACTTATATTTCTTATTTGACTTCAAAGTATTTGTTGATTGCAGAAAATCCATATGTAAATCAGGGGTAGACTTATTGAGAGGAAATGAAAAAAATAAAAAAAATACCATTTGTTTTTAATAATTATTTATTATATTTTTATTAATCTATTTTTGAAATGTGATCCTATAATTATCATATGGTTTAAATCCCCAAATCTCCCCCTGCATTTTCCATTTTCCATATGTTTTTATATAAATATATAGAAAAAAATCATTATTTTGCTAAATATTTTAATATACTAAAATTTATTTTATTATTCATTTCTTAAATTATAGCTATTTAATATTATCTCCTTAATTGTATAGACTTTAAATAAAAATATTATTTTATTTAAAATTTAAAAATATTTGTTTTGATTTGTATATGATTAGTTTTGAATTTAGTTTTGAGTACACAGTTTGTGCAGAAATACTTATAAGAACAATATATGTAATTTAAATGTTTAATAACCTGAATTGTCTATACAAAATAAACATTTTAACCATACTTATTGCTAATATTTGAAATTAAAATGTTATTCAATTTTTAGTGAACCACAATCAAATGGATCATCAGTTTTAATACATCATCGTAAATCACATAGTTTAGATACAAATAAAGGAGTTTCTGTAGATATTAAGCCACACGATCGAAAAATAAAACAAAATTCCCAGCAAACTATGTAAGTTAAAGTAAAGTAATTTATTAGTATTAGTTATATAGCTTATATGATAAATTACATTTTCAGGTGTAGGTGTATTGTTGCATATCCACCAAATAGTGAGTATGAACTAGAACTCCGAGTTGGAGATATTTTATATGTTCATAAGATTAGGCAAGATGGGTGGTACAGGGGAACATTATTAAGAACTGGAAAAAGTGGATTATTTCCATCAAGTTTTGTTGAAAAAATCTAATGATTTTTGTATCACCATACCAACTGACTAGTTATGTTAAGAATTTTAGTCTCTGTTAACTTAACTATTAGAATGCTTAGTTATTTACTATGATACAATTATCTCAGAATTTGTATACCACAATTGTATCAATGGTGTAGTAAACATTTTTACTCTCATAACTTATTTATGTCCTGTAATTATTGATGACTGCCTCAGTTAAATTTATTTCTATGTCTTTTTAAAACTCAACAAATAACATTTTTCGTTCATACAAATTATTATTTTATTTTAAATTTCTAATAAATATTTTAAATAAAATCCTTTTAGATTGTCTTTCCTATTAATTTGTATTGTGTTTAATATAAAATTCTGACTACATGAATTTTTCAATTATAAATTTATTTTAGTATTAATCGAAAAGTACAATTTTTTTTCATTTTTACAGTACATACTAATACAAAAGACTAATGTAAATTGTATCTAATCAAATGCTTATTTTAGTAAAGGAATATAAAAACATACTTCAATTTCAACATACCTCTATAAAATGTTGTAAGTTATTTATGTTTTTTGTTTGTATTATGTTTATTGAGATTTTTCAAAAATAAAAACATTTAATTGATATATTATCATAAGATTGTGAAATAACAATGTATTTCATTATTTGTCAGATCAAAGACTTAACTATTAGATATGAGTTAAGTGTTTTCATGAAATTGTTGTTTTTTTTTTCTTTTTCCATACATTTTATTTGTATTTAAAGCCGTTATTGTTAACAAATTACTTTTTAGCTAACATTTTGAGAACAATATTATTTTTTCTTTAACTAAGAAATATTCAGTCAGTTTTGTGAGTTACTCAAATGTTACTAAAATAAAAAGAAATAAAAAATAATATTAACTATTTTTTATTAAACTAACAATATGTTTTTTATGTGATTCCAACTAGTAACCAAAATTATTATTGTTTATTTAAAAATGTATACTTCATTTTATTGTTGTGTGCAGTTTACTTAGAATAAGTATTAGATTATAAGGAACTTAAAAATATATATATATTTTTTTTTTTTAAAGAAAAAAAAAACAAATCCTTTTTTTACTTGAATATTTGTTAAAACAACAATGGACCATAAGACCATAGGCCACACAATGTTTTATAAAGTATTTCAATTTTTATATGAAAAAATTTAAAAGTAAACATATGTTGTGGTAAAAATAAAATTATGATTTAACTGGTAAATCCTAGATTTTAACAATCACTGTTGCTAATTGTGTTAGAAATTCAGACTTCTACTTATTGATTTTGACACAACTTATGATATACAAATTTGTTGAACCCCAAATGAAAAGTTATAATAGTTTATTATAGTTTGAGATATTTGATTATAGGATTATGATTAATCTTAGGATAAACAATCAAAGGTTTAATAAAATAATTTTGTTTCATATATGTATATATAACATTTCTGGTGTTTTTTTCTTTCTTTGTTTGCATGTTATTATTTACAAAAAAAAACCTGAAAATTATCATTATTGTAAATTACTCTAAAATGCATATTCATAATTTGAATATCTACGAAGAGTAGTATTCATACTTTACCATAACATATATTGTACATAATATGTTTTTTTTAGCTTGATAGAATACAAAATAAAATAATTTACAAGGGATTAATCATTTTATAATGCTGTGTTAAACGTTTATTAGTATTATGTGTACGCAAATCAATTGTTTTACTGGTTATGAAATTCAGCAAAATATTAATGTTTTCCCTCAGATTGAAAGTAACTATAATTGTGTGGCCAAAACTACTATTTAATCAAAAAACAAATGTGTTAATTTAAATTTGTTATTGATTTTAAATATTTGTCATTACTGTGTTTTATATTTAATTATAACTTAGTTGTCTTAAATGGTTGTATTTATAAATATTCAATTTTATAGATTGATTTACTAAAGAAATTTAAATTAAATGTTACAATGTTAAAAATAAAACCTCAATTATTTGATTTTAGAGACTTATTAATCACTCATCTAGAGCTATTATTTTATTATAAGTTAATAAATATTTTATAGATTTTAAAGTTAATAAAATCACTATATTTTCAATTATTTTATTCAAATTTGATCTATATTTAACAACTTTATTGCTACTTTAATATTGTGATATTATTACTATAACTTCTATTTAAAACCTCTTGCTGTACAATTCATTATAATTTCCTTTCCTAATCATTGTTATGTAATTTTTATTTATTACAATTTATTGTAATAAAAACTATTGTGAATTTTACAAAATTTAATTGTTCAAAATTATTTCAGTATTTAATGCATTATTAATATATCTATACTATTTATTATCTTTAGAGTGTTAAGTAAATTAATAATATCTATTAGTAAATGTGAAGTACAATATTTTATAGTTAAAAAAAGTAGTAACTGATTAATTTATAATAAAATAATTGCTCTATAATTAATTAGAATTAAAAACTATTTTAGTGTGCTTAATATGAATTATTATTTTAGTTTAATTAATATTGTTGGAATGCAATAATAACCAACAGACTGTTCTTGATCAATTTTCTAGTTAAACAATATTTAAATTAAAACTAATTAGAATACAAAATATGTTAGTGTAGTTAAACTAATATGATTATATCCTTTGTTTTTTTTTTTTTATATGTATAACATTATGGCTTAAAATTGTTCATGTATTAGTACATAAAGGTTTGTGATTTATATTATGATATATAATAAATAATATGTTATAATAATTATAACCATTACTGGTTAACTTAACCATTGCTGATCAAAATAATCAATTAATATCCTCTAATGTATACAAATTGATTAAAACGTTTTCTGTTTTTTTTTCTTTAAATAAAGTATACAAAAATTTTCTTATTAGTTAATTTTTTATTTTTGTTTTATGTAATACAGATTATTATTAATTTATCACTAGTTTCATAACTTCTTGATTTAACATTACTGGTGAAAAAAGTACAATAATCTAGTTTTTGACTATGGACAAAAACCACATATTAGATAAGTAACTCAAGAATATTGCAAAAAAAAATACTTAATATAATAAAAATTCATGTGAAAGTGGTAGGTGTATAAAATGTTTGATTTAAGAGTTTTTTCAAGTCACGATTAATATAACATAGGAGATTTAAAATACTCCGCCAAAATGACTCATACTCATTTTTAATTTCTAAACTTTGGTCAATGAACAACATTACAACTGCATGGTTTCTACGGCTTCTAGAAACCTGAAATAGTCAGTAAATTTGTATTTCAAACTTTAATCTCCATTTTATTAACAGCCTCATACAAACCTATCACTCATCTTCCAATCATCTCAAAATTATTCGAAAAACTACTTCTAAAACACTTGAAACCTTAAGAGAGCTTGTACTGGAAAACCAATTTGGATTTCGAAATAAACACTCAACCATCGACCAGGTCCATTGCGTCATAAACGTGATAAACAAAGAGCTTGAAGAAAAGAAGTATTGCTGCGAGTATTCCTTGACGTAGCACAAGCTTTCTATAAAGTTTGGCACAAAGAATTGCTTATAAAGTTACGTAAATAGTTGCCGTATACTTGGTGCACACTTCTCGAATCCTACTTGACTGATCGTCAATTCATGGTCATCCACAAAGAAGTAGTAACTGAATGGAAAAATATATCAGCGGATGTACCACAGGGAAGCGTCCTTGGACCAATCCTGTACTTTTTACCTACAGCCAGTGGCGGCTCGTTTATATGTGCACAAGTGCACGTGCACTACCTACCCAAACTCAAGAAAAATTAAAAACATAAATCATAATAATACAACTAACTACTAAGTACCTGTAGTATTATTAAGACTATTTTTCAAAATACAAAAATATAAATTCAGAATATTATGAAAATATAATATTTGGTTTGCATTATTTCGATTGCCAAACGGCCGGACTGTTGTCCGCGACGGAACAGTCGGTGTGTATTATAGTGGTGGAGTTGTGCACACAATGGTTATGCACATTGGTACAGTGTAAAAATTAAAACAAGTCGAAACACGCAACCCGCGTTATAATGGAATTGGTGTGCACATTTGTTTCTGTGCACAAAACCAATTAAATTGTTATCAGCGAATTATTTTCGACGTTGCCGTGTCGTTGCGCGTCAACATCATAGTTTATTTTTACTCTCATTCATCTATTATATTCCGATTATCAGCTGATAATATTGGCTAGCCAATCATTATCGAAAATTCAAAACAACAATCGTGTTTCTGTTTTCTATTGACGACCGACATTACGTTTATTATTATTCGTGTATTTGTTTTCAATTTTTAAAATGAACTCAGTACAGAAAATACTGCAATGCAATTTTTCAACAATCTCGTTGGAGAAAAATATGGAAATAAAAAATAAAGATAGGCCTACTCCAGACTTAAATATTAAACAAATTATTAAATGTAAAACGAGAGAATATGTAAAAAAATTTAATAATAATATATATAAAACCTATGACTGGATTTGTGGTTGTTAAGAAACTAATCGTTTGTATTGTTTTCCCTGTTTACTTTTTGGTCAAAAATCGAATGATATTTCTTAGAGTAAAGAATAGAATAAATGATTTAATTCATTTAACTTTTAAAACAAAAACACATGAAAGATCAATGAAACACATAAATTGTCAATTAAATTTAAAACTATTAGGAAAACAAGACATAAGACAACAACTTTCTAGTGCGTATTGGTTGAATATCAAACTATACAATGAAAAATTAAGTTATAATCGTTGTATATTGAATAAAATAATAAATTGTATTAAATTTTGTGGAGCATTTGAACTTGCACTCAGAGGTCGCGATGAAAAATCAAATTCAGAAAATCCCGGCGTATTTCGAGGTCTTATAAACTTTAGTTCAGAGTTAGATTCGGTACTAAAATGTCATATTGGGAACTCTTCGGTATTTAAAGGTTTATCCAAATCAATCCAAAATGATTTACTAGAATATTGTTTAGCTGTATGTCAACAAACAATTAAAAATTAAATAAAACAAGCAGAATATATTTCTGTAATGGCTGATGAAACAACTGACGTATCTGTTCAGTTTCAATTGTCAATAATATTTAGATATTTACTATCGGATGGAACACCAGTAGAAAGGTTTTGGGGATTTTTCAATCCTACTGGACATGATGCGAANTACTAAAATGTCATATTAAAAACTCTTCGGTATTTAAGGGTTTATCCAAATCAATCCAAAATGATTTACTAGAATGTTGTTTAGCTGTATGTCAACAAAGAATTAAAAATGAAATAAAACAAGCAGAATATATTTCTGTAATGGCTGATAAAACAACTGACGTATCTGCTCAGTTTCAATTGTCAATAATATTTAGATATTTAATATCGGATGGAACACCAGTAGAAAGGTTTTGGGGATTTTTCAATCCTACTGGACATGATGCGAAATCGTTGTCTGAATGTATAATATTCAACTTGGAAAAAGTCCTAGAATCGCCAAATATGTTGATTTGTCAGAGTTACGACGGCGCAAATGTGATGAGTGGACGTCTCAATGGTGTACAAAAAATAATAAATAATAGTTATAAAAATGCACATTTCATACATTGCTATGCTCATCAGCTTAATTTAATTTTAATTCAAGCAACTTCACAAAATCGTGAGATAAGGATATTTTTTTCAAACTTAACTGATATAACAAATTTTTTTTCAAACAGTCCACAGCGGGTTACGGTTTTAGATAAAATTGTTAAATACAGAGTTCCTCGATCATCTAATACTAGATGGAATTTTAAAAGTCGAATAGTAAATACTGTGTATGAGAATCTTGAGCCGTTAATTGAATGTATGAAAGAAATTGAATCAACATTTAATCAAACCATAGCAATTAATCAAGCTGGACCTTTGAATCGGATGTTAAATGATGATAAATTACATTTTGGTTAAGAGTGTTTCATTCTTTAATGCCTCATGTTGATATTTTATATAATCAACTACAAAAACAAACTATGGATCCTGTAGAACTTTCAAAGGCAATTTTTCGGTTCGAAGAAAATATATTAAAAGAAAGACAGAATATTGATAACATCGTTGAAACCTCTCAAAATCATCCAACGAAAAAACGAAGACAAGATGATACTATTGAAACAAGAAAAATCGCTGCAAAAGAAGTATGTGATATTTTTATTGTCAACGTTAAAGAACGTTTTGATTATAAAAATCACTTAAATGCTTCGCACCTATTTTTATCCACCAAATTTCCTATGTACGAAAATAACTTCCCAAATGACCATTTTAGTAAAACCGTTGAAGCATATCCTTTTTTGGATGTTATTAAACTTAAAACTGAACTACAACTGTTCTACAAAAGAACCGATTTTCGTGATATGAATTCATCAGTTCATTTATTGAAATTTATAATTGAAAATAATTTAACACTGATATTTTCTGAAAGCTACAAACTTTTAAAAATAATTTCAACTGTTCCAATGACTACAGCTGAAGCCGAAAGATCGTTTTCTACATTAAAACGTATTAAAACATTTTTGAGAAATTCAATGACGGAAGATCGACTTACAGCACTAGCAATGTTATCGATCGAAAAACGGACGATCAACGATATTTCAAACTTCAACGAAGAAGTAATAAACAGGTTTGCAGAAAAAAAAGATAGAAGAATCGATNTTTTTTTTTTTTTTTTTTTTTTTTTTGGGTGTGCACTACTTCATTAAAAACCCACGAGCCGCCACTGCCTACAGTGGACATTCCAATCAACAACTATTCAATGACAGACATGTTTGCTGATGACACGTCAATCAACAATATTTCCAACTGGACGAAACGTTGGAAAATCAAAATTAACACCGACAAATCGGTGCACGTAAATTACACCTTGCGTAAAACCGTCTATAAACCAGTATTGCTAGATCGGCAGATCATCTCAGAAAGCTAAAGCTTACTCCTATGTAAATGATGTAGTTCGTTTTCTGAAAGGAAATTTTCTTGGGCTGGTACTTTAGGGAGGTAATTTTTCGATTTTCTCAGGAGTTTTGTCATCAAATGTGAAAACCCCCCCCAAAAAAAAAACGGAGGAAAATGTACGAAACATAAGTATTATTTAAAAAATATTACTACCTTTTTTTTCCTGTGAACAACCTTTCTATCATTTATTTTGCTCCGATTTACAATGATAGCACTTTTTTGAAAGAAAATCTGACTGGGAAAGTAGAAAGGTAGGTACTTTACGGATTACGTTTTTCGATTTTCCTAAAAGTTTTCCCAGCAAATGTGAAAAACAGGAAAATCTATACAAATATTGTTAAAGAAAAATATATAATGCCTATTAAATTTTTTACCATAATATGACATATATATTATTGACAATGCATCACTATTAACTGAACTCGTTAGCAATGGTTTATCATTGCTTACACATATACATTAAATTCTCTTCTATATCGTACCTTCCCAACTTACCACCTACAACAGTAGCTGCAGCACCCGTCCCCATTATCTTAGGACAGCTTTTTAATTTTACAGTTTGATTTTATGATTATTTTTGAGTCTATTAAAATATTACAGATAAAAAATAATTTATTTTAACATAGATAGATTACAGAATAAAAATAGTTTAGCAGTGAAAATAACTAATAAATATGATAAGTAGAAATTAATGAATAAAATACCTAATGATTAAAATAATCCAGTAGGTATAATTTTCCAACCATTAATCGATACAATATATAATGTTACATAAGCAATTTATATTCCCACTTCTTTTAACTTTCGAATAATTAGATAATTATGTATATTTTCCAAATGAATTATTGGGAATTGACATATTAATTTTAGAACTTTAAATATTCACGTTTTTATGGTTGTAGGAGGTAACACGTAGTTGTAATAATGCATGCATAAAATTATATTTTCTTGTTTCTTTTGGTGTTTTATTCAATATTATTGTGATTTTGTAATAAAATTTATCATTTATGAACTTAAAACCCATACCTGATTTATAAGGGTCGATATTTTTCAATTTTTTGACATATTTAGTTACCTACATTATAGGAAATATTCATCACCGGGTACGTTTTTAATTTAAATTATTAATATTTTATACAATTTATTAGGTTTAATATAAGTGCCTTTAGGTACACATATTAAGGTATATAACAAACTAATCTTATAATTTATTTATGCAATTTTAATTTAGACAAAATAAATATTTTTATTATTTCTATTACCTAATAATATTTTGATTTACCTATGGTTGTTACTTTTATACATTTTACTCTACTTAATTAATATTTTTGTTTCATTTACAATATACACCTATTAAATTTATTACTTATTTTATACTCTTCAAGACAGTGGTGGATTTTCAATTTTTTTTTTTTTTGAAAATCGAAAAATCATATACAGATTCTGAACACAGCAAAGAATTGGTTTTATCATATATGCTTTTTTTCTCTTTGTTAAAAACTTTTGTACTATAAATATTACTGAGATTTAAAGTGTAGCATATTTTCTGAAAGTAAAATTTTTGGTCATTTTTAGATTTTCCTTGCAAGTTTCTTAATTGTTGAAAAAACAGAGAAATAACTTGGGAAAAATGTGAAAGTTTACAGTAATAATCGTTTAGTTATTAACGATTTTGTATACATTTTTTTTGTGTCATTTAGTTAAATTAATCATAGAGATATGACATTTTTATAGAATACTTATCAATATTCCTATTACCTATTACCTATTACAGGTGCGGTAAAATTTAAAAAATATTGGGGTATTTTTAAGTATTTTTAAAACATTTTATTTGGATAAAATTGTTTTCGCAGAGCAGAAATGCTTGAAAATTGTATGTTGTTGATCTTAAGCTGTAGATGACATGCATTTACAAAAATTGGAAACAACACAAACGGCTACCATTATAAAATCCTGTATGTATCATATTATAATTGCTATACAATATAAATATATGCATGTATCACATAACGAACCTTGGTACTTTATTTTATACAATATTGTGAACCTGCAATGACTGTGATAAACAAAAATTATCTAAATAAAAAATTATTTTTAAATTGTGCTATTAGTATTTTAATTTAAAATGACATTATTTTAACTTAGAGTACATAGTTATTGATATTAGGAATTCTGTAGAAATTAATAATTTTAACTATAATTGGTATTATATAATATAAATCAGTGTTAATTATTGTACTAAGAGATTATTTGTTTAGGTTGTATTTTTTTTTAAATATTAACACTTATTATTTCTGTGTAGGTTGAACAAAAAACAATGTGGGAACATTCAGAAAAATCAATATTATTTTTGATGATATTGGCATTAATCGTCAGCACAGTGTCAAATTTTTCTAGTAAGTAATTATTTTTTATACCTAACTGTAATTATTTTATAACTTTAAATTCATTGTGTACCTCTTAATACTGGCTGCATAATCAAATACTACTTTAAGTTTGCAAATATTTATTTGGTAAAATATTTATAAACTAACAGTGTCGCAATACCAGAAAAGGATTTACTTTTATGTTCTTAATTTAAATTTATGTTTTGTACTTGTCTATTGTACCTGAAAGGAGCTTCAACGTTCTTCCAAAATGTATTCATGCTATGGGTATTAGTTATAAATTACCTATGTATACTATAATCTTAATATAAATACAAAATCACACATTTTTAGTTTATAACAATTCTCTTCTCTCCCGGAAATTATTTTACAATTACGGTCTTGTGTATTACTATACCTAAATTCACTAAAAATAGGTACTTTTTAAATTCTCAGCTAATCGAGGAATGTTTTACAGTGATGTACATTTATTTTTACTTTTTTTTTTGTAAACAACTTTTCTACTAGAAATGTTGCTCCGAATTTCAAATGTAGCACCTTTTTTTGATTGGAAATTTGAGTGGAGTGGTACTTTAAGAAAGGTTTTTTTTATTTTTCCAGGGATTTTCATAATAAACGGGAAAAAACGTAGGAAAAATGGGAAAATTTACGAAATTAATTATTTTCAAATCTTAAATATTACGGCCTTTCTAAACATGTAAAACTGAACTCTTCTCAGAATCGTTTTTCGTTAGCAATAGTTATTCTTTGCGTGCAGATATACCTTCAATTTCCCCTCTCCCTCCCCAACTTCTCACCAGTAATAGTGACCCACCCATCGTGGGAAGTTTGTCCGTTTGTTTTTTACATTAAAACTTATGAAATCGGGTGTTCTTTAATAAGTAGGTAACCTACTTATTTATGCCTGTAATAGATAAATCTTTTCATAGCAACTACGAAAGTCAAAAACATTTGTTGCGTGGAATTCATGGAAGTTAAAACATATTTTAAAAAGATAATTTTAGATTTTGGTTTTAAGTCCCCTGATATAGGGTTAGTTAGTGACTTGTGTGCATTGCATTCTATATATCATACGAATACAATTGAGGCGGCTCTACAAACTGACCTGGTACCTACCTAGCGAACAATATATTATACCTATACTATTGGATATCTTAATTTATTATTGTTGAATTATTCTTGTTTCACCGAAATAACTTCATAATAGGGAGTTAATTAGGTATCGTAATATAAATTATTTTTGTTTGAATTTGAATAGGTACCTACATTAGTATAGCTATATTATGATATTATTATGTTTACAATTGTGTAATAATCCATTTAATTAATATTATGACTTTATATTACCCTTAATATTAATGTTGTGAAAAGTCCCAATAGAGTAATTTCATTCAAATAAACAATACTTTATTATGATATATTTTGAATATTATTACTTTAACTATGACAGTGTGCCAGGGCATAAATCAAAGGTACCTTCTCTACTTACCTACTTGGTGATAATAATAATTTTATTGTTGAGTAGACACTAGACAGGTATTTAAGTAGTTAATAAATTATTTATTGTTATATATGGGTTATGCATAGACGCCTACTACCTACCTAACTTTATGTTATATTGTTTAATATGTGTGCAAACATTCGAACTTGTTTAACCAATAGGCAGTGCCCCCCCCCCTCCCAGACACTAATATAATTTAAATAAATGTCGTCCAATAAAGATATCTATTAATAGAGATTCTTTTAAATACGTATGATTTTTCAGGGTCCCTCCCAGAAAAATGTTGAAAATCCGCTACTGCTAATAGGTAGTAGTTAAAAAAATAATAAAAACCTAGATTAATATATTATTATAATAAGTTGATTTATCCTCTTCGTCGACACAAAAATAGTCAATAATTACAATATTTTATTTTCTCAAATACTTTGATACTACATAAAAAAAAAAATTACACATCAACCAATCAACTAATTTAGATATTGATTTTAACTTTGGCAAAATGGCTTTGGAGAAATTGTTGACACTGTACATCTAACCAAAATGTTTTTCCGTAAAGTACGCATACATATTTTCGTCTTAAACTTATAACTTATTAAATATGTACCTACATAAACTTCATTAGATACCTATTCACTTTAAGCGTTTATTATAACTTTTATTTAAAATTTCGATTATCTGTATGTATTAGGCTGACCCTTATTTTAGAACTTTAAATTTTTTGATTTCTCACCCTTTCATATTTTTATAATAACAAACTATTTTGTGTTAAATTTGGTGATTGTAACTTACCCCTTTCACGTACCACAAGAGGGTTTACAATTGCCAAACAGAGTAGTTTTAAAATTTGTTGTATTTAACATAAAAATATTTTATATATTAATTATAGATCTAAATATTTTCAATAAAAAAACATTTTACAATATTTCTCCTAAATTCATTATTTTTGAAGAAAAATAATAAATTATTAATTTTTTTGCTATTCTTTAAATATATCTGCTAAATCAGCGATGTTATGATAACATTACATACAAAGGTAAAATTAAATTAAATTATACCAGATTATACAATATATTTTTAAACATTGGCGATAACATTGGCGTCGAGTGACGACGCCGCATACTTGTCTGATAAGTTTTGCTTCGCCTTTTGAAAGGCGGCTCTACTATGTAGTGTTGGTCGAGCCGGGGAAAGGAATGCTAACGCGGTCCTCTTCGGTTCGGCTGTCTACAAGAGACGAAAGAAAAAAAGTCAGCCTAACAAGTGGGTTACGAGTTGTCTTAAGTTGGCATAATCTAATTTCTTTATCGAAACATATATGATTTAAAAGTGTGTATTTATGTATAGATATATTTTATATAAGTGGTTCATCTGTAAAATATTTTTATTTTATGAAATAGTACCGTTTATGATTAGTATGATTATTTATTTTCTTATTTAATTAAAACAAAATACTTTTAATTCAAATGAATTCAAATATATTAATTTAATTAAAAATTAAAAATGTATAATAACTATTATACTATCAGTATTTTAACCACACATAGACATAGGTATGTATCTATATTTTATTAAAAGTTAAGTATATTCTGTTTATTTTTAAGAGCTTATTTTAAATATTATACAATTTTTGTTTTATTATAATTAGATATTATTTTTGTTGTTTTGTTGAATATTTTAAAATTAAAAATAGTTTCCAAAAATGTTATATAAATTTAAGATTAAATAATTTTGAAATTATTTAAATGTATTTTCCTTATCTATAAACATAACTACCTTTAATATTTTATTTATTTTGTACTTTTTTAGTTTTTTCAGATACTTCTTGTGAAAAAAACGAATTTTATTGCCCTAATGGTACTTGTATAAATAATTCAACTGTTTGTGATGGCAAAAAAGACTGTATCGATGGTGCTGATGAAATTAATTGTGGTATGTTACTATCAATATTATGTTAACTATATACTGTAAATAATTTTAAATTTAAATTTAGATGTGACAAAATGTTTGAAGCCAGATTATTTTAAATGCCGTGATAAATGCATTGCTAGTTCGTTTGTATGTGATAAAGAAGTTGATTGCACTGATGGATCAGACGAAAGACATTGTCATGATGTGCGTATTCCAAATTGTAAATTAAAATTATTTAAAATTAGGTGTAATTCTTAATTTAAATATATTATGTCATTTTAGAAATCCCTTACGAGACCATGCTCAAAAGCAGAATTTGAATGTGCTAATGGTGCATGTATTCCGATGTTTTGGCATTGTGACAGGATTGTAGATTGTGACGATGGCAGTGATGAAGATACGGAGTCATGTAGAAATACAGTATGCATATTTTTTTTTTCCCCCTTATAGTTATAACTACAGTTATATTTCATTTTTTCAAATGATTGTTTTAGACGTCTTGTACTGAAGCCTATATGTGTAAAAATCTACATTGTATTTCAAAAATTTGGAGATGTGATGGCAAAGACGATTGTGGAGATGGTTCAGATGAAACTCATTGTGGTATACAAAATTATAAAATATAGTAATTTTAATTTTTGTTTAATTTTTACATATTGGTAATTTCCATTTTTAGATATTAATTTAATTGAACCAGATAATTGTTCAATTGGAGATCGAAAATTTTTATGTCATGATCACAAAAAATGTATAGATATTGAAAATGTTTGTAATAACAAAACAGACTGCTTAGATTCATCAGATGAAGGTGGTATTTGTAATAATGAAACTGGTATGTATTTTATTTTAACAAAATAATCTTAAGTAAATATAAATTAAAGAATGTTTACAAATAATATTATCCTGAACTCATTTTTCAATAAATCTATTTTAAAGTCAAGTCAACTTTCATTTATTATATTTAAAAAAGTACCATTCATCTAGTCTGCAAAATTTCAAAAATAAATTTATACATATTATATTATATAAAATATAAAACAATAGTTATAAGACAATAAGTGCATGTATATATATATATACATAATTAATTAAAATGATAGTATTTCCTTATAAACAATATTCATTGTATGTATTGTTGTTTGGTATTATTTGTTTTTTCAATTTTTCAAAAGATCTAACTCTGGATATAGCAAAATATAGTTGACCATGACTAAATACAACTATACTATAATTAGCATTTGGCTCTGAGCTTTGTTTATTGTCAAAGAAAATGCTATTCGTATTGGAAATTGACGTCTTATAAATGAAAAGGGAAGTATAGAATCTGATGGGGTCAAATCAATTCTAGGTAATAAAATACGCTGGCCAGTTCCTTGCCCAATTATAGATTCTATGTCTAAAGAATTTTCTCACATATTTCATACAGTAAATCTTGTACCATTCATTAGACTGGACACTATATTTAACTTTCTTTAGAGTAAAATGATAGTACCTTGCTTTATTGTCAAACTGTGGGAAGTCACTTAAATGTAATCTATCTAGAAATTCTGTAGAACTGAAAATGGTCACAGTCTTCTGACACTGTGTTTAAACTTGAATAAATTTTTTCTTATCCTTGCAACATATTAACGATTTTTTTGTTTATTTCATCATAATGTACATTTTTAGGTACAAGAATAGCATATTATAATAATATAGATATATTTTCTAAATTCAAAATCAGTAAGGTAGAACTTCAGATACTACTGTCCCAAGAAATCGCATGGTTTTTTAATAATATAAGTAAAAATATTATTTAAAAATTAATTGTACTAATATATTTCATATTCTGTGAAATAAAATACCTTTTATATATTCTTCTTTCTTGACTTCAGCCATTAAGGTAATACTGTTAAACAAAGATCTTGCCATTTTTGCATGTGTTTTCTGTAGTTTCACTTCAATTAATTTCTGGCTCTATCATTTTGACATCCCTTTTCCACAGTATACTCATCTTAACTTTAACTTCCCTTTGTTTATTCTCCATATATGGTCCTCCTCAATCAACCGCTTAACTAGAAATTTTTGCTTACTCTAGGCATGGCCTACTCATGTTAATCTTCTCCTACCAATCTCTCTAACTAAATCTGGCCTCTGAATCTGCCTTTGGAGTTAATAATTATGTAGCTTTCTCTATTCTTTAGTTTGATTATTGAAGATTTGGCCATACATTTTCCTTAGGACCCAAATAGTACTTTTTCATTTTTTTGATTGGGTATTATGCTGCCCTAGGTTTTAAAAGTGTGCGGGGATGTTCCAAGTTCCAAAAGATCAGCCATTTTTTTGTTTTCCAATCTTGTTGTCCATGTTCTACTATTCCAAGGCAAGTTTATTGTTAGATCTTAAGCAATATTGTTTTACTAGGCATGGTTCTTAATCTATACTTGGAGGAGCCAGTTGAGGCCAAATAATGGCTTACAGCACCCAATGAAAGGCACTGGTGATGGGGTACACACTTTCCTTACGCCAAAAACCTTTTATATGTATATTATTTTTATGTGAATATGAAGTTTTAATTTAATTTTTACTATAATTTTAAAAATTAATTAAAGTGGTGGATTTTAAATTTTGAACACATTTGAATAAGTTTATTAATAAGATCTGTTTACAAATTCTGAAAAATACAGTTTTGACAATTGATATATTTTGTAAAAGTTAATATTAAAACTGTTTCAGCACTTATAAGAGGATGTAAAGCTATGAATTGTTCTAGTGTATTTGAATGTTTAGAAAAACCACATGGAATTATGTGTGTATGCCCAAAAGGAACACATTCTGTAAATAACACATGTCTTGGTAATGAATATACTTGTTTAAATTTAAATTTACAACATTAATCATTGTTCATATTTAATAGATATTGATGAATGTGAAGAATATGGTATTTGTGATCAATTTTGTCATAATATATATAATAAATATCGAGGACAATATGAGTGCTCTTGTCACGAAGATTATGAGTTAGTTGATAATCATAAGTGTAAAATAAAAGGTAACGATTTTGATTGTTGATTCAATATAATTTATATTTATTTTTGTACTTAAAGGTCTTTAAGGCCTTATGAAATTTCTTTGATGTATATATTCTTACCCTAGTGTCCACTTCTCTAACAACAATCCATTTATCGTTGATAAATTGGGGCCTTTCTCTTCGCCGCTTTTTGGTTAGGTCTTTAATTAGTACATTTTAATAAGACTCATGTCGACTTTCTAATGTCATGACATGCTCAGTCTAATAGCTTAAGATATTTCCTGATGTTTGGTTTGTTATATAGTATTTCCTAAGTCTACATTTTTTCTTCTTTTGAATTCTTCATTATATAGACGTAATTTTGCTAAAATTCAGGGGTAGTACAAAACTGACATTTACATACCTTTGTGATGAAGTAACTAATAAATAAAAAAAAATCCAAGAAGTATATTTAATAATAAATATTAATATAAACGCTTGTAAGTAAAACGGCTCATAAAGACTATGTATGATAAGTAGGGAACTGATTTATATACACTTAAAATCCATAAAAAGCGCATTAAAAATGTCAAAAAATGCTAAAAAATTAATTTTTTAAAAGGGCAATAAAGATAGAGAGGTTTAAAATTCCCCCAAAGTAGAACCATTAAAGGAGGGATTAAAACCATTCTACCACTTTTACTGTTTTAACAATTTAAGTGCTTTTTTTGTTGTTTATAAGTGCATACAAATCCGTTCCCTAGTGATTATTGATAGCATAGCATCAATTTTCACAATCATGTATTCACATAGTATCACCATTAATCTATTTTGTGGTGTCATAATCATAAACTTATAATATTATAAGTTTATAATTATTATCCCCATTTATAAACGGTGAATATTATCTGTACGAAAAATGATAAGAGACTTATTCGGAAATCCAACCCAGTAGCATACTAATAAACTACACAAAATAAAATACTACCCGACATAATATTGCTGTTTTGCATTACAAATCATGGTTTATTTTCATTTAGTGGAGGTGCAAAATGATAGTATTACACCCCCACAAAAATTCAAGCTCCTCTTGTATCCCCCCGAGATTACACCCATGCACAATTACGATTTTGTGTAGGTTCATAATATGTTAATAATTTTTTTAATTATTAAATGTGTTAGTTAAATTTAAAATCTTACCAGAAATTATACTATATTTATTCTTGTTCATTTAATATTAAGTATGCCACTAATTTTATAACATTTAAATAATAAATAACATTTTACTACATTAAGACTATTTAAATAGGTGACAATCCAGTTTTAGTATATTCATCATTACAACAAATAAAAGTTTTTGACTTGGTAACACACAGTCGATATACTTTAGTTGATAAATTGCAGCAAGCTACTGGATTAGCTGTAGATGGATCAAACATATATTGGACAATCATTTATGAAGGGTTACAGGCTATTGTTAGAGCAAACAAAAATAATACCAAACCTGAAGTTATTGTGACATCAGGTAAATGTTTGATGGCTTAATAATTTTCAAAGCTATAAATTAAATATAATTGTTGAGTCCACTCTTATTTATTTCAATTGGTTGACTTAAATATTTATTACTGAGATAATACTAATAATATAATTTATTGAATTATGAAGTGATATAGAGTATCTTACAAAGATATACTCATTACAAGATCTCCTGAGATTATAAAGATAATCAAATTCTGTTTTTTTTTTTTTTTAAATTACTCACAGGGATAAGGTATATAAATATTTATATTTGAATTAAATTTTGATGTTTTGATAACAAAAAAATTTTAAGTTCAGAGAAAAGTAAATACAACCGTACAGCAGGCTGTAATCAATTGATTATTATTATTATGGCTAATTATTGACTGTACACTTTTGTTTTCTGAACTTTAAAAGTTATTAAAAATCACAAATTTAATGAAAATAAAAAGTTGATACATCAAAATTTTCAAAGAAATATACTCTTTATAATGGCTATCTTAAATTTTTCAAAAATAATAAAATAAAGTTATTTTTTTTTTTTAAGTTTTTTACCAAAACATAAAAAATTGATTGGAATATAAATATTTGTAGTCCACATCCTTGTGAGTAATATGAAAAAAAAAAACACTATTTGATTGTCTTTATTATCTCCGAAGATGTACAATGGGTATACATGGGACACTCTGTATAATGTACATATATATTATTCATATTAGCATTGCACATTTACAAACATAATATTAGTAAACTTGTGTGCATGTAGGTCTTGGAACACCTGAGAACCTTGCTATAGATAGTATCACACATAATTTATACTTTACCGATGGTAAAATGAAGCACATTGGTGTGTGCAATAATGATGGATCAATATGTACAGTTCTACATAATAAGAACATTGACAAGCCTAGAGCAATAGCTGTTTCACCAATAGATGGGTATAGCTAATTTGTATATTTTGTCAAGTAATAATATTTTTAAATTATTATCAATACTAACAAAAAATTGATTTAGTTTCATGTATTGGACGGATTGGGGAAAAATTCCAATGATTGCAAAATCTGGAATGGATGGATCCCTACCGCAAATGTTTGTTACTAATGATATACATTGGCCAAATGGTATTCATGTTGATTATATTGGAAAAAGAATCTACTGGGTGGATGCTAAGTTGCAAGTTATTGAATCTATTAAACTGGACAAAAGTGATAGAAGAGTAATTATATTATGGATATAATAATTATTATTATTATAATATATATATATTACTATTGTGTTATATTATATTTAAATACTACTTATCTATATATAATAATATTACATTATTTTTCATGTTTTTAGGTAGTTATAACAGAATCGGTAGATCATCCATTTTCAGTGACTGTGTTTGAGAATAAATTATATTGGAGTGATTGGTCAGGTAAAGAAATAAAAGTATGTGACAAGTTTACAGGCAAAGATCGCAAGTCATTAGTACATGAAACTCATAGTAGAGTATACGGCATGCAAATTTTCCATCCTTCACTATTCAAATCTCAGGTATTTTACAGTAGTAGAAATTAGAAAGTTTTATTTTCTATAGGTTATTTAATTTTCAGACACCAAATCTATGTGAAACTGCTAAATGTAGTGATATGTGCTTATTAGCACCAAAGACAAATGTTAGTTCTAAAGGATACAGTTGTGCTTGCCCTGTTGATAAGTTTCTATCATCAGATGGATTGATGTGTTATGACATATTCATACCTTCTTCCCTTATTGTTAGTACATCAACTAGTATTTTGGAAATTCAACAAAAATATTTGGGGCGTCAAAAAGTTAAGGAAATACCGATGAAAAATAAACTATCCAGAATATCTGCAGTCGCTTATAATTCAATATTTGGTATTCTACACATTATAATTTATTAGATTATGAAATTTTAATTGTTTATTTTATTTTATAATGTTGTAAGGTAATGTGATAATCTATGATTCAAAATCTAAAAAACTTTGGCAGTATGATTTGGTTAAGACAAAATTATCAGATTTTATACCAAAAATTGATTCTTTACACTCCTTAAAATTTGATAATCACGGAAATAATCTTTACTGGTGTGATTTGACTAGGAAAACATTAGACGTTTTAAGTCTCACTACTTATATGCGAACTACAATTTTATATGAATTAGATGGTCATATACCAATTTCAGTTGCCTTAGTTCCAGATCGAGGGTAAAAATATTATATTATGTTTAAGAAACATTACAATTTTTTATTATATCCAACCTTTAATACATTTGTTGTTCTATATTTTAGCTTTATGTTTGTAGCTATGAAAGATGGTTCTCGTATACATATAGATAAATTTGATATGGATGGAAATATTATGTCTTTAGTTCATGTAGTTGAATATGGAATAATAGCTGATGAAATTGTATTACACTTTGATTTGATTACAAGACGGTTATACTTTAATGATATAAAAAATGATTTAATTGATAGTGTCGATGAAGATGGTTAATAAAATAAAATAGATACAAATTTAATTTAAGATTTTAAAAGACTAAATATATTTGTACCTTATAATTATACTTTCCTAGGATTGAATAGAAAAATTATAAAAAATTCTGGACTAGTCAAAGATATAGTTTCAATGGATAATGAATTATTTTGGATAACTCAAGGTTCAACAACTTTAAATTGGATAGATACAAAAAATGATGACCGATCTTCTAGTGTACTTGATATAGGTTATTCAAATTTTGAATTTCAAATTTTTATTATGATCATAATGTAATTTTATGTATATTTCAGGAAATTGGAATAGTGATTCAAATTTACAATTAACAGTAGTTTATGGGATTGATAGAAATATCCAACACCCATGCAAGCAAGAAAATGGTGGTTGTTCTCATATATGTCTTTTATCTGGTAAAAATAAGGTACAATATTGAATTATTTTATTCCTAAACAAACAATACAAAAAAAATAATCATACAGTAAAAGAACTTTATTTTAATGGTATAATGAAGGTTTGTAGATGTCCATCTGGATTGATATTATCAAAGAATGGTCTAGAATGCACACCATTTAACCAGTGTAAATCTGATGAATATCGTTGTTCAACTGGTGAATGTATTCATTCAAGATTCCGATGTGATTCTAAACAAGACTGTCTTAATGGTGATGATGAAGATCCTATTAAATGTTTATCGTTTATGCCAGACTTATGTCCTAAATCTCAATTTTTATGTCATGATAAAACTAAGTGCATAGATAAAAAAATGCAATGCAATAATGTTAATGATTGTAGTGATGGTTCAGATGAAAAAAATTGTGGGAGCAAGCATACATGTGATCCAAGTAATAAATTGTACTTAGTAATGTAGAGGTAGTGAAAGGTTATAAAAGTTAAGTTAATTAATATGATAATATTTTAGTTACAGAATTTTTTTGTCAGACTGGAGAGTGTATTCAACGAAGTTTTCTATGTGATAGTAATCTAGACTGTATGAACGGTGAAGATGAGTTGCACTGTCACGACCAAACTTGTCATCAAATGGAATTCAGATGCAAGTCTGGTAATTGCATTGCTTCAGTTTGGGAATGTGATGGTGAGATTGATTGTATCGATGGTTCAGATGAACACTCTAATTGTGGTATATTATTTATATCTACACATTTAAATAAGATATTTTCGATCTTAATTTGTTAGGACTAGGACTTGGGGCTTTATGCACTTAGAATTCATAAAAAGTAATAAAAACCATTAAAAAAGGCTTGAAAATGCACTTGAACGGTAAATGATATTAATGGTAACATGTTTTTAAAATCCCCTCTCCCTCTAATGGCTCTAACTTATAAAATACAATTTTCAAGCACTACAAAAATTATTAACACAAATTTTTATATAAAATTGTAAGTATTATAAAAAAGAAAATTACTTGTATTCGACAATTGCATTTAATGATTAGGTGGTTGGGTATAGAAATTTTAAACCTCTCTGGGCCCTCTGTTATTTTTGCTTTTTAAATTTTGTTTAAGAGCTCTTTTAACGTTTTTTTTTTTTAATTTTAAGCGCATAAAGTCCGAAGCCCTAGTTAAGATATTACAACATTATTTTTATTACACATTTATTATATTATTTATTTTTATTTTTTTTATTAACATTATTTTTAAAAAATATTCACAGCTGTAAAAAAATGTAAAACTAATCAATTTGCATGCAGTAATGGCCGATGTGTAGATCATAATTTTACTTGCAATGGTGAAGATGATTGTGATGATAATTCTGATGAAAAGGGATGTCCATCTAGTCATGCATTTCTGAAAAAACCGTTAGTTAAATTATGTAATTCAGAAACTGAATTTGAATGTGAGAATGTACATGGACATTGTGTACCGATCGAAGCAAGATGTAATAGCACATCAGAATGTAAACTATTTGAAGATGAATTAAATTGTGGATGTCAAAAACCTGATTTTTTTGAATGTGATAATAAACTATGTGTGCCAAAAGTTTGGTTATGCGATGAAACTGACGACTGTGGTGATCAGTCGGATGAAAATACTAAGACATGTAGCATATTTTTTCAGCACTCAACAGTTTCAACAAATGAATGTGATGGATATTTATGTAAAAACAAAGAATGTATTCCTTCAAATAAAGTTTGTGATAACAAAATTGACTGTAAAGATGGTACCGATGAAGGAAATCTCTGTGGTAATTTATATTATATTCTGTATTAGTCAATTAAATAATAATCCTTTGTATAGGATGATGAAACTGGCAAACAAGGATCTGCCATTCCTTTTTTGATTCTTTTTCATTTTTATTTTTATAATTTTACTGTATTATTGTGTTTATTGTCTTATGAATATTTATTTATAATTAATTAATTTGTTAATGTATTGTATTTAAATTGAGTCAATCCAGTATATTATCCTATTAATAAATAAATACATTTATATAGTACAACTAAAAAAAAAAAACTAGCAAATAAGATAGCCAAACTTGTATTACTATGTGATACTATAATGCATAATATATTTTTATATAATAATTGCTAAAAACAATTTGTATTTAAAATACATTATTTAATAAAAATTATTGTTATTATTATTTTTATTAGGTAAATTTTGTCAGTTTATGAATTGTAGTCATACATGTGAAGAAACACCAAATGGTGGAAAATGTACTTGTTATCATGGTTATACAATTTCGATTGATGGTCTAAGTTGTAAAGATGTTGATGAATGTCAAGACAATAATATATGTGCTCAATATTGTACAAATTTAGATGGCTCATATAGCTGTCACTGTTTTAGTTCAGATTACCTGCTGCGTCCAGATAAAAGTTCCTGTAAAGCTTTAGGCATGTATTAAATATTACCTAAAGAAAAAGCATGAATTATTAATTAATACTACTTATAATTATGTTTTAGGGCCTATTATGAATTTAGTTTATTCTGATGCTGGTAAAATAAAAAGTATTTCTGGAGATTTTAAAGAATCAACACTGCTTTTTTCAAACTCAGGATTTCATGTAACAGATCTTGATATAGATACCAGAAGGAATCTTATTTATTGGACTTCAGGTATTACAATTATGGTTGTTAGTAATCATGGTTATAGCAAATTCATTTTAAATGTGTAATTTTTGATAAAAATAATAGATTCTAAATAAGCAAAAGAAACGCCAAGTATCCATTATTTTATTGTTTTTAGAAGAAGCTGATACTCTTATTTGTATGGATATGCACCAAGAGCACAAGGTTTACATGCAAGACTTAATAAATCCAACCAAAGTTCGTATTGATTGGTTAACTGAAAATGTTTACTTTGTAGAAAATTATCGTGATATTGTAGTATGTAATTTAAACTCTAAAAAGTGTGCCACTATATACAATGCTAACATTCACACAAAAATTAAGGCTTTTACTATTGATCCTCTAGCTGGGTAATTAATATTTGTTTTTAATTAAATTAAATAATATATAATAATCATTAACTAATAATTATTGTGTAGCTTGATGTTTTGGGCTGAAAGTATATGGGCTATATGGGATTCTCCGACTACAGTTATCAGGCAATCAGACTGTAGTGGATACAATGTAAAAACTATAATTGATCAGGAAGTACATGATATAACTGATTTAACGATAGATCCAATTAAACATTTAGTTTATTGGGTTGATCAGGCTAATTCAGCAATTGAAAGAGCTAATTATGATGGATCTAAAAGAAACATTATTATTTATACAAATGTAAGAAAGTTAATATTAAAACTATTTTATTCTATTCATGATCTCTACTAATAATTATATTTTTAAATTATTAGCATTTACCAAAAAAAATTTCACTGTTTGAAGATAAATTATTTTGGACTAATGATGCTACAGAGTATCCTATTTTCAAATGTAAAGTATTTACTACCACAGGTGCTCAATGTGAACCAGTTTCTGTGCAAGTATTTGCTCCTATTGAGATATTTAGTGTAGTTCAACAAGCCAAGCAAATCAATGGTAAATGAAACATGAATTATTATTATTTAAGTTATAAACCAATATAATATTGGTAACTTAGTAACATTAGTTAACATAATTTTTGATAAAACAATATATTTTATAATTTTTCAATATTTCTTCAAAGTAACAATTTAAAATTCATACTTAATAAAGTAATTATAAAATAAACCTAATCATATTATCTACTATACTCTATGAATCCATGCAGTAAAGTTTTCCTAAATTTAAATTAGTTATGTTAAAGGATAATCAAGTAGGATTAGGGAAAAACCAATTTATTATCATTTTAAATTGCTAACGAAAACACACATCTAAAATTATTATTTTGATTTTAGTTTAATTATTAAATTGAACATTATTCATTTTAGCATCAAATGTTTGTAGCCATGTTCACTGTGATTTTATTTGTACTTCTGGTTCAAAGGGGCCGATGTGTGTTTGTGAAGATGGATCCCAAGTTGAGCCAGGCACCGAGTGTGATGTAATTTTATATTGAATTTTAATTTCATTTATACAAATATTTTAGTAATAATAGTTTATAAAGATAATATTAATTTTTAATACTAAATAAATAATTTTTTTTATTATAGGATGCTGGTCACAGAAAACTGCCAACCTTTAAAAATATAAATGACAACAGTAATACAATTTCATATTATATTGCTTTGTTTATAATTATAGTAACAGGATTATCCATGTTTTATTATTATTTATATCATTACAAAAAGAAACTGTTTATAATGCCAGGGTAAATTGTTTTATTTCTATTAAGGAGTTAATTAATTTAAATAAGTACTTTTTAATCATACTTATTTTGATAGGTTCCACTTTCATAATCCATTGTCAACAGTCACTGAAGTAATGAGTAGAGGAGACATTATTCAACATGAACACCTAGAACCAGGACAGCATACTTATGAGAATCCTATGAATGAAGTAATTATATTTATTTTATTTCTTTATCAAAATTAATATTCTATAACAGTTATTTCGTGTAACATGTATATAAAAAAGAAAATTGTGTAAATTTATACCCAATAATAATTTTAATTTATAAGATCATTTGATTATTTTTTTTAATTTTTCACGTTTACTTAAATTGAATTACTAATACAAATATCCTCTACATAAGAATGCAAATCATATACCTACAAATTATGTTTGATTGAATTAGCATTGTCTTATTATATCACAATTAGTATTTCAATAAAAAAAATAAATGGTTACACTTTTATAATACTATCCATATGCCCATAAGTAATTCATAGGTATATTTATTGATTAACGTATATTATAATATTTACTAAATATAAGAACAAATTTAAAACATTACTTTATATTTTATAAGTGTTTATTTGAAAAGTTATGAATTAGATTTATTTTAAAATAATATACACTTTTATAGGTGAAAAATAAAGTAGGCAGGATACGTAAAGCTATTTAATTTATATCTGTAATTAAAGATAAGCTATTTCTAACGAAAAACAATTCTGAGCAATGTTCAATTATACACGATAAAAAAAAAAAACCACTACATTATAGTATACCAAGCATTTCGATTTGGTCGAACAATTTTATGCACACAGTACCCACCAGACAAAAAAAAACTAAAAAATATAAAATATTAATAAATTGCTCAAAATTCTAAATTACTATTCTAACTAAATCAACTAGATCCAAAATGCAACAAAAAAGGTCTCAAAGTTATTTACAGGCAAAAAAAAAAAAAAACAGTAAAACCAATAGACTAGGGTTTTCCTTTGCTACACTCAGGATCTAAAATTTATATTGTATTTAATTATTTGTTTCAGGAAATGACAGCTATAAATGTTGTATCTTGTGAAGAACCGTTAAGTTGCAATGGAACACGTGGTATTTATGTGACCAGAACTGAATCTGGACACACCCAAGAAACAGAGTACGAAGATTATAAGAAAAAACTTATAGTTTTATAAGGAAAAAATATAAACAAAAAATATGGTAAAATAAATATATATTTTTAATTTTAAATAAGATAAATTATATTGTGAAATTGATAATTTAAAAAAAATATAATATAAAATAACCATATTTATATATTATAATTATAAACATTTAAATAAAGTTTGTCTAATTTATATGCACACCAGTACACTTTTGAATTTTAGAATTTCATAAAAATATTTTAGTTTAATAACTTTTTCAATACTTTTTTTTGTATGTGATTTATATTAGTTTTAGTTAAGAATTTTGTACAATTTTTAAGTCATACAGAATTTATTAAGATCAATCATGTCAATAATTAATTTTTATTTTTCATAGAATGAAAAATATTTCAAATATTTAAGTACAATATAGTATAATGTATGAGTAATATATGTTGTTTATTTATTATTTCCATGGATCACATTTATATAATACTAGCTGTCTTGTTCAGCCTTCCCCGTATCAAATTTTATTTAATTTTTTATCCATATTCCTTTTTGGTTTTGATTGTATTAGTAATGAATAAAAACAAAAAGGTGGAGAATGGATAGTCCACCATCAGGGAACTAAAAATATTATTATGAAATATATTTTTATATTTTAAATTACTATTCGCCTTAAGATATGATACATCTGTAATTTGAGCGTAAAACATAGTTGTCGAGTAACAGACCCATTTTGTTAATAATTATGATAAAAAAATTTTTTTTTTTTTAATAAGGAGAACTTAGCTGTGTCGTAGCGTTTTTATTTTTTAACTAGTACAAAAAAATTTAAAAATATTAATTATTAAAGTTTGTAAATATTTCAAGTTGTTTGTTTATGAATATACAATTCTTGAGATAAGTTAATGAAAAATGGACAATGCTGCGTCACAGATAATTTTCTCCTAAGAAGAAAAAAAAAAAATTGATCTATCATAATTATTAAAAGAATGGTTGTTTTGTTTCACATAAAACGGTTTTTCCATGTAAAAACTGACAAATTATTTCGCTGGGATATGGTGCGCGCAACGTCATTTCTCGTGGGTATCACCTTCAGGAGAAAGCACGAATAAATCGTTTTTGCATGTGACGTGACAGGGCCAGGTATAATTGACCATAGGAAAAACATACGGTTAAGTCTAAACCTGCAAAATTTAATGTTTGACTATGACCTTGTGCCTTATTGAGAATCATTGTTTCATAATTTCACGGGAAATTGAAGCCGTTTTAATTGGAATGGTAGATTGGTTAATATCATTGGTATTCTAGGAATCAAGACAGTTTTCCCTGGAGGGAGGGGGTTAAAGAATTTAAAAAGAACAGACATTCTTCGTACATGTGTGCAGCCACTGTTGTAGGTGGAAAGTTAAGAAGGTAGCATTCAGACAGAAATTTAATGAATATCTGTATTCTGTAAGTAACGATAAGCCATTGCTAACGAAAAAACGATTATGAGCAGTAATCTACTTGAATAGTTTATAGTGTTGTTTTGTCAATAATACAATATAATATGGTATATGTCATTTTATGGTAAAATGATTATAATGTGCGTTTTCATGACAACAATGATTGTTTAAATAAAATAATAAAAACACTTGCCAAAGACAACCTTATTTTTAATATTTCAATCTTTTTTAACCTAAAGATCGAGGTTTTCCTCATTATCTCAAATATTAATGAGAATTTAAAATAATACCTCTCTAAAGTACCACTCAGAGAACATTTCCTTTCAGAAAAGATGCTAAACTTGATAACTGTAATATATTTTCTGGCAGAAAATGTTCACATAAAAAATAAAAAATATTGTAAAACCAATACATTACTCGTTCCACTCAGAATCTAAATTTCAGTTGGATAATGTACCGCCTCCTCATCTCTATCAATAACAGTATCAGCTAAATAATAAATTTTTGTTGGTGCATTGAATCTTAACAGTACCATGTCATTTATTTTATTGACTTGCTAGTTAGTTGATGACAATATTGCTCTTTCCTGAAACCAACTCATGGTCTTAATAGAAATGTTAGATATTTCTGGGTAAACAAAAAGTTTATAGTCTCGATCAGTTTCATTATTACATACTAAACATAGGTACTCTTTTGGCATTTGACATGTTGCATCCTATTTTAGACCTTTCTTTAGGCATGACTAAAATGCAAACAATTTTTAAAAACAGTTTAGTTTTATTACATAATATTGCACATAAAAATGTACAATTATATTTATTAATATTAATTACCATAGATATGTTTTGACCAACCTTCTAAATTTTTTTTCATTTCATCCGTGTTACAAAGGTTATTCAAATAAATAAATAATAATAATATCTAAAAACCAAATTTTGAGGGATGGATGACAATAGCTATAAACCGTCCTCGATAAATAGACTATCCAACACAAAAATGATTTTTCAATTCAAACTAGTAGTTCCTGAGATTAGCTCGTTTAACTAATCGAAAAACTCTTCATATTTATAATATTGTTATAGATTATGATGGTGTTCATGCCCCACAAAGTTTGTAATATATATATATAATGTTAAAACATTTATTAAAAAAAAAAATAGTTTCAGTTTTAATAATTTAACTACTTTTGTATATTTTATATGTATATTATATTTTTGACGATTAAATTATTCTTCTCACCATTTATACATTTTTGAATTAATTTTACCCAGTTACAATGAATTCTATTATTTATACAAGCAGTATTATATTATTTTCTACAAAAGGTATTATACAGTATAATACAATTTGTACAAACAATTTATATCTCTAATTATTCTTTAATTAATAAGTTATAATACTTTAGCTATTTAAAGTTCTAAGATTTTTTGTAAATGGCTCTTACCAGTAAGATAATGGGGAAAATCAGGCTTCAGATTTAAATCACACTTTGGTAAGTAATTGCATTAAAGACATCTGTAAAGCATTAAATATGCCCAATATGTTTAAAAAATATGCACGTCTTCCATAAACACTATAATTTAAATCATATTAGGTAGGAGTAAGTATTACAACCTAACCTTACATTCCTCCATTCAAACCAAGCCTTGTTCGATCCAATCGTTTGGGTCAATACATTTGGAATATTTTGCTATAATTATGCATTCTTCATTGTAAAGAAAGATCCTAATTTGTTTGTATTCAATTAAGATGTTTATGCACAAAATCAAATAATAACTATTTTTACTCATAAATAACATTTTTTGTTTTGTTTTCCATCAGTAGGTATATTGAAATAAAATATAAAACTACCTAACATTTTAAGAGACCAACTGGATAGAAAGAAGTCCACAATCAAAACATTAAAGTAAAAATAAAATTTCTTAAGTACATCTGGTCGTTATCATATATTTTTTTATTTATGAATGATAAAGGTAACATAATTTACAAAGTAGCCAACCTAATTTTAATATTGGGCAAAAAAATATTAGTTTAAAAAAACTAAAACTTGAACAATGTTAGATTAGTGTAAACATATCAGACAGGAAGAAAATAAAATTCAAAAATACAAATTTCAGTTAATGCATCAAAAATATCGTCTAAATGATTGGTGTATTAATTCATTCGTCATTCGTAAATTCATCAATTCAAAAATAGACTCCTAGTTCACCCGACCTTGTTGCCCGTTGGAACCCGCCTGCCGCCAGTCTGACTCACGGTAAATAATATTATTACCTACCGTGATCTGAATATATCAGCGAACGCGATCGACGAACTAAAATCGCGTTCGCGGCGTCTATTGGTTTATTCTACACGATTCTACGTTGTGATCGAGAGATTTATATTAATTAATATAGTGTAAATATATTATAATATAAATAATTTAACACTCAGTGGTAGGCGGACACGTACATAAAAAAAAAAATTCGGGGGGAGGTCTGTAAAAAATGTACAATAATCAATGTTTATAAAAAATATTACATTAGATATAAATACATTTCAAAACTAGTAATCTTCGGGAGGGGGGGGGGGGGGAACCTCCAAAACTGTCCCCCGTATACGTGCCTGGTGGTAGGTAATGAATAATCTTCAGTGCCAAGTCCAGATATCGACGTGTACTTCTCGTTTAAAAAAAATTATTACTATGGATATAGTAAATACAGACATCTTGAAAATTCTTATACTGGAAGATTGCGATGAGGTTTTGCTCTGGCAGAAGAAATAAAAGAAAAAAAAAAAAAAGAGCATGGATCCAATATTTACAAAGAGAAGTACCGAAGATTATAATGAAATACTTAAAACGGCCATCTGAAAAATAATGTTCAGGGAATTTTATAGAATAAACAGCGATCAGTTCGATTTTATTTTGAATCTAATTTAAGAGATGATTTAACATAGACTTTATTGAACTTGACCACTGCAGAACACTGGATTACCACTGAACGACCGACATCAACGAGTGGTGAATCATAAATGAGTATCATATTATTATTACGAGTTATTACATATTATTTGACATAACGCAGCTTACCTATGTCAATGCGGACTTCCCCATAGCTCAGTTATAAAATAATAATTATAGATAACTATAAAGATTTAAATTTAAACTTCAGTACATGGGTAGTTAAGTATTATTTATTTTCAAAACAAATCGATGGCGTAGTGAACAAGTTTACATCACCGACCGCGATCGCCCAAGGAAAACCAAATATCTTTAAATTACATTATATCGGCAACCGCGCGATTGGCGCACGCGATCCAAGATTGCGGGTCGTGTTCGCAATCACGCAGGGGAAAACGTAATAATAATTTATTAATTCTCCAATAAGCAATATTTACAAATTGTATTTAGAATATATTTATTACATAGTTGGCGTGGTCGAGTGTTGTGGGAAACTGAAAAAAAGAAGTGGCAGCCTGTCTTTTCACTGGCAGCGAACCGCTACGGCGGCACCTCTTCTAGAAAATTCCAACCGGAGAACCCAGGAAGATTATTGACATTTCTCGAACAAACATACAAACTGAATTTGTCGAATAAACAGTGATTTTTACACAAATACAATTTATAAATATTTTTACAACTATTTTATAGTGTATATACAATATACATAGGCACATACATTTAAGCTTGAGTATAACGAACTCTCCTCAGTCCCCACTATTCACGTTACACATTACTCAGTGTAGCACCGTTTTTGTGACGGCGCGCGCGTGACGTATGAACGTTAGAGTAGTGCTCCACTACTGTGCCTCTACTAAAAAAATGGCAAACGTAAAAGTAAAATATCTCGTCAACGAAATTACGAAAATTAAAAATGTTAACACTAAAATTTAATATATTTGTGTAATTTTCAATATAGATCGGCAGGTTGCTCTTTGAAAATTAAAAGTGTATTATATGGTTTCACCCCCAAAAATATAAGTGACAAAAAAAAAGAAAAGAGGAGTAACACTTTAGAGCTGTTTGTTTCATTGTATATAAGTGTTCCGTGAACTGACTTCTACGCGATTATTATTAACTGAATGACAGCAAAAATAAAAAAAAATAAAATATAGGTAACAAAAATTGCTATTTACCAATTAATATTATAATTTTCCCGACGTTCTTTCCCGGTTTTTTTTTTCATTATTAAGAATATTACAAAAAAATAACCCCATTGCACCCACTAGACAACATTTTTTAATAGAAAAAATGTGATGATCAAAGCAAGATTTCTGATTAAAGTTATTTTCAGACAAAAAAAAAGCCACAAAGTAATCTATCATCATAGTAGAATCTAAAATAATTATGTACGTAATCAAAAACTTGGCTAGCAGTGGTGTATAGGGGGGGGGGCACAAGGAGCCCATGCCCTCCTCCCCTCATCGGCCATACCTATGTATATATTTTACTACTATTATAGTCGTAATAAACAATTTTTGGAACAAAAGTTCGTTGGTACAAATGTCTCGTGGAATAAAATGTAACGTTTCGCTGTCGGTGTTGCTACAAAAATTAAATATTCGAGAGTATAAAATAGATATAGGTATGTAACAACTAACAGACAATCCTCAATGTTGGCATACGCGTATTACAGTAATAGGTATATAGTGTAATGCATTTTCTTTTTAATACATTGAACATAAATAAATATAAAAACAGCATGTACCTATAATTGTCAGAGTGTACATTTTTAAACTGTCGATTATCGATTGTTGATTTGTTTTTCAATTTATTTGTATGATTAAAATAATAGTTGTTTTTTTATTTTTGGTTTCCCTCCATTATTCATTTCTGATTCACGCCTCTGTGAAGTAGTGTTATCAGGAAAAAAGTCCCGCTATAAATTAATGTATACCAAAATATAAATATTATCACAAATTAGATAAAATTCTTATTATTTAACATAAACAATGTATGTCAAATATTCGTGAAGTGTTTACTGGGTACTGAACAGAATAATTGTGATGTAAATAGAAAATAGGTATACTTTCAATGGAATCTTTATGTATAGAATAATATTATATTAAATATTTGGATTTATGATGATTGTATGATTGGTACACTAATATTTTTAAATTTTTAAATCTCTTTCTGAAATTTACTGATTACATTTTCACCTACAGAGCCATTATTATTGTTTATATAGGTACCTATTAATATTTACAACGAGGTGCTTTTCCCCCTTAATTCGTTTTAATATGTAGTCATACTAATAATTTGATATATTTATTATGTTATATCATATTTAATGGTTGTATATTAATTAATCTATGTATTTCATAATTAATAAACAGAACAAAATACAGATAAAGTAAGTGTGTATAAAAAAATAAAATTAAACAAATTGTTGATGTTGGAGACGAGTATGCCACTGACGTAAGTGGTAAGTTTGGGAAGTGGGATACATAAAGATTTAATTTATATTTGTAAGCAACGATAAACCATTATAAATGAAAAACGATTCAAAGCGAAGTTGGGTATAAATGGTTTGAAAGGCCGTAATATTTACGATTTCTGTCAAAATTTGTTATTAAACTCTTATAAAAAAAAAAAATACTACGTGACATTTTTAATTTATTTCGACCACTTAGTAAGACTTTAATTTCCTGTTGGATTTTCAAGCATTTCTGTATGGTATAACCATTTTACCTACTGAGTAACTACTAAATAAAAATTACGTAATATCTCACAAGATATTTATAAATAATTCGAAAAATGGCTCAAATATTTAGAAAATTTTACGTCTAGAAAAATCAAATATTGTAAATACCTGATTTCAATCAAATAAATTTCCAGAAAAAAAAACGAATTAGATGAACTAGTAGTACAGGTATATACGCTGTATGGTACATTTTAATTACGAGATTTGAAATGAAAAATCATGTGATGTAATAATGACAGTTGGATTTAAATACCGAATGATTGAGGGGAGGGGAGTGGGCGAACGCGCAAGCAAACTGCGTGGTAAAGGAACATTATTCTTAATTTATTAGGGTCTCTGGTCACGGAGGAACGGCCAGTGCACACAAAATATCAGAATTTCGTTTTGGCAATATTTTTTTAAAAGACCAATGTCATCTATGTCAGTTTCTGGTGAGCGCGTCAGTGTCGACGGCGTAGTGGCAACAACATTGGCGGGACGTGTTTACAAATATTGTCGACAACGAGGATAGTAGTATTATAATAATATTGATAAACGTGATAATGTCGTATTGCATAGTTTGTAGCGCGTGGGTTTTTTGGTAGGTGGTCGCAGGGCGGTGAGACGGTGACGGGTACTAAACGAGGTGTTTATGTGAGTGCGTGCGTGTGAACGGCGTTGTTATTATTTTTGCCGCGAAATGCAAGACGGATCATAATGACAACAACACTGCCGCGGTCGCCGAAAGCCGGTAAATTCGGTTACCGCCAAGAGCTAGCGGGACGCGACACAGTTTTGCGTTGGCTGCACTGGTAAAACCGATAACATTCATTTGGGAGAGGGAAGTTCGTTAAGCGTCCTCTCTTCCCCGTCATACCATAACAACACGGACACGCCGCAGCCGCCATTATTTTTGTCTCTCGTAGCTTGGTGAACCGTTGACATTATTTCTACCGTGTTGTCTTTTTTTTTTTTAAAAAGTTTTTTTTTGTATTTATATATGAAGAAACAGATGGATAGTGAATGGAAGTATGAGATAGACGATCTCGTTTGGTGAGTGGTTTAATGTTGTGTCGCTGTGTCGTGGCCGTTACCGCGTACAGTACACGACTAATTCGGAAAAGAGCGCAATTGTTAATATGTGGTTTTGTTTACAGGGCAAAAATGAAGGGTTTTCCTCCGTGGCCCGGACGCGTGAGTATAATATTGTAATATCTACCGCACACTGTTAATGTTTGATCATTTCAAACCAACTGATTTTTGGATTATTATAGTTTCCATAATAGTACAAAATTGTATCGTAACTTTTTTTTTGTACTTTGATAACGCGGGACTAAGACTGCTAATATACTATGTTTTTATTCCCTATTGTTGATTTGATTCGGTTAATTTTACTGCTAATCAGATGTCTACTGTATTAATGTAACATAAATTTTGCAAGCATGTTTAAGGAGTATTAGGGATTTACCCTCCAATTTTGAAAATAGATATTGCATTTAAGGATCATCACATACTAGTTCTACATTATGTTGCAAATCCCCCCCCTAAAAACAAAAAATGAAACTTCCCCTATATAACTGCTAAATTTGTATATATTAATTTACAAACTGTCCATTGTTTCTATACCTAATACGTATAACTAATTTTTGGCAATATGCATAATTTTTTATTATAATTAACCTAATCTTACCTTTAATATTTTTCAATATTGTCATTTCCCCAAATTTTTGAATTTGTAATGATTTTGCAAACATATCTAAATCGTAGTTAGGTTGGAAAATACAATTCGGAGCATTTATTTTTTAAGGTCCAATAAAAGTTACTAAATAGTGATCACAGTTAATGAATTTTTATTTGTACATATAATAAATTTGTTGGTATTTATTTATTATAGGTAACTGAACCCACTGACTTGTTAAGACGATTCTTGAGGAAAAATTGTAGATGCATATTCTTTTTTGGAAGTGAAAATTAGTAAGTTATATTCTAAAATTTGTTGGTAACTTTAATTATTTAATGTATTTTTCAATATATCATACATTGCTAATCATCACTTCCATGGCTCAAAATTATGTTTGTTTTGTTTTTCTTTTTAAGAAATTGCTTTGAATATTGATACATATTTTGAACATTCTTGGAAAGAATAATCTTTATTTTGCTCGTGATAATGGAGTATTCCAAAAGCACCTATCTCTAAATGATAATATAAAATCATCACCTATCTTGATCTTTTTCTTTCTCTTGTAAAATTTCATAAATTGAATTACGTGGTTTTGCCATGGAAGTGACGTAATATTACAACTTAAATTATTTTATACAATTTTGAATTTAATAATTATTTTGTAGATTGTTAAATAAACTATTCATATAAGTAATAATATTTAGTAACAATTAACATTGTAAATTGCAAACAATTTTTTTTAGTGCATGGATTGAGACTGGTTGTTTAAAACCATACTTTCCATTTAAGGACGCATTAACTTATGGTTGTAAGACGCCAACCTTTAAGGAGGCTTGTAGGGCTATTGAAGAGTTTGTTGAATCCAGAGACCCAAGTTATGTAGAAGTGAGTTATTTTTTTAAATTTATTTTTTGTTTAAAGTCTTAATTAATTTGTTTTTATTATATTATTTAAGGCTCAAAAAAATAATGGTGTAGTATCTGAAACTGAGTTACGTTTTGAAACTCTTGTTGCAAATGAAACTCCAAAAGTGTCTAAAAGGAAATCTGTAAGTGTGAAATTTAATAGTTGTTAATTAATCAGTAAACTAATGTAGTTTTATATGTTCATTGCTGCTTCTGAATCAACAATGGCTGAGCATCTAACCTAACCTTAAAAATAATCTATAAAAACCTAACCTAGAAAATTTAAAAACCAAGACAAATATCTAAAATGCTGCATAATATGCATTATGCTCAATAGAATTAGTTAAGGTATTGATGAGAATAATTAATATACTATTTATTTACACTATTTGTGAGAAGAATTAAAGGTAATTAAAAATACTGAAATGTGACCATAAGTGTCATGACAAAGAAACTACCCTTAATTTAAGTGAAGTTTAAATAATAATAATTATTATTATTATTCCATTGTTTATATGAATGTTCTAAATTTTTAATTGTGTACAATAATTTTTTCTGTAAATATATTTATAGTATTATTATATTATTACTATAATAATAAAAAATTAAAATAATTTATGAAAGTGATTAGTATTTGATTAAGTATAAACCATTAGTATTTTAGATTCAGAGTGCATGATTACTGCATTTTGTTTATTGTTTTGGTTCGAACTTCCATTAATCTTGTTCATCAACTTTTCTAAAACTAAATCTAGTTTGTTCAGTTAAAGAAGTAATTTTACTGTTTTTCTTGTAGTTTTCTAAATTTTGGGCAAAACAAGTTATTGTTTTAATTTTTTTTTTTTGTAACTTATTTTATTGCAAATGGGTATACTTACATTTATGTTCTATTTAGACGTAATATTTGAATTTAAAAAATATGCAATTTCTGTGTTTTTATTCATGTAATTAGTAATCACTAATTTTTATTATTTTTTTATATATATAAAAAAAAAAACTCAATTAGGATTTTCGTAGTTTTCTATATTTAGTTCCAAGTGGTTTTCATAATAATTGGAAAAATCTGGAACAAATAGGCTGAATTAAAACTGTAATTGCAGTAGAAAAGTTCTCTTGTCATTTCTTGATTAAAGAACATTTTTGACTTAAAAGAATCAATAATACAAAATTTAAAATAATGAAACTTTGATTATTTTTAAGTTTATATTCACATATATTTATCTTTTCATGTAGGTATTAGTGAATTTATAATTGTATGTAATTCACCACAAATTCTGGATTTTCATGTTTTCTGTGGCAAAATTTTAAATTGTATGTGTACATGTATAATAAGCAACTCTAGTTATAACAGTTATTACATAAAGTGCTCAACAAACATTTATATTGGTCAGATTTTAGTTAGCATAAGTATTTTAATTTTAATGATAACAAGTATTTTAAATATTTAGAATTTTATCATAAATAGAATTTTAATACCCAGAAAAAAATATTGTAAGAACCTTCAATACTATCCAAAAATTACACAATTGTTTATTATATTTATAAGTGATAATATGTTAACAATTTAAAAAATGCATGTATATAAAATATTACATCTATTAAATTAATATTTTATAATTAAAAAAGAAGTTTTAATTTAATCTATTGTTTTCAGGCATCTCAACGTCGTATTTCTACAGTAAGCTCACCATCTGGATCAACACCTAAGAAACGTAATAACAACAAATCACAATTTGGTGAATCGTCATCTGCTTCTAACTCAGATGACACAAATGGACGATTAAAACGAGCACGCCATAATTCTTCTGGCGACAAGGATATACTTACAAATCTTGGATTAATAAACAACCACTTGGGTACACAACGAAAAAATACTTTGTTGGATAGACCTGAAGTTACAATGGCGGTAACTAAATAATTAATTAGCTTTGTTATAAATACTAAATTACAATTAAATGATTTCAGGAAACTACTCCTATAGACATGTCAAAGATTTCTAAATCTTTATTGAACAAGAATATTTCTCCATCCGTAATGACATTTGGATTTATTGGGTTGGGTAACATGGGATCTGGAATTGTTAAAAATCTAATGAGCTCTGGGCATTCAGTGGTTTTATGGAATCGATCTCGGGAGAAGGTAAATATTTTTTTATTAAACAATATGTTTAAAAACAATATGATGATTATGGTGAAGATATATATGTTTTTATTTTTTAACAAAATGCATCCAAATAGTTATTTTGGGCCTATACACACACAATATTGATGATTATAAAATTAATTTACTGTCAATCTATATTAATCAGGTTAACCACCATGCAATTTTTTTTCAAGATCTCTTTAATTATTAATCTTACCTCTGACACTTGATTGTGTTTTAATAGGTTTGCATAACATAGTCAATATATTGAATCAGAATTGATCAAATGTATATTTGTGCGTGCTTCTGGATATATTTAATAAAACATTTTTTCTAGCTAACAGATATTAATTGGATGTGCAAATAATAATTTAAATGTATTAATTCTTAAATAAATATTTACTTTAATCTTGGATTATAATGTTAAATAAAATAATCTTCAAAAATTATTAAATTAAGTGGTTTCAATGCTAAAAATAACTTGAATTAATTCCTAAATAACATACCATAATATTGCAGTTAAAAATTTGTTTTTAAATTCTCAGAAAAATGTTGAATACATTTATTTCACTATATTTTGTTTTTGTCTATAAATAACTTTTCTATCTATAATTTTGCTTTATCAATCTCAGGGGTGGTTCTTGATGGAAAATTAAGTTTCTCCATATTAGTAGTGATGTTTTAATTTTCTTTTATAAGTAATTAAGTTTTATTTATAATTGGAAAAACAGTAAAATCTATTTTATCCGAGTTGAACTTTATCACTCAGTTTTGCAGGATGTATCTTGTCATAACATAGCCTGGCTAAACAAAAATTTTAGTTGAAAACTCTTTATAAGTATTTGATTCATGATTAAGGTGATATTGTAAATTATAATAAGGGGTTTATAGTGTTATGTTCATAGATGTTTACATGTGATGGTATGTCATATCTTTGTGTTTAATATTTATAATTTCATAATAAAAATAATGTGTTTGAGTGTTTTGTAATATGCCTAGTTGAGTGGGATAGGCTATATAATCAGGCTTTGTAAGTAAACGAATAAGGCCATAAAAGGCTTGGCAATTTGTTTAAGTAAAATGATCCAGGTTGGTCAGCAAGTTTATATTTCTGTTAGGCTTGTGCTTAATATATACAGTATAACTTGTTTAAGACTCTTTTTAAGGAAGTAGCTCAAAAGCGCTTTATGCAGAAATTGAAAAAAAAGTTTTGGTTTTTTATAACCTTTATTTATTAAACATAATTAGGTAGATGATACACTTATACATATATACATATGATTATAATTTTTATTATTTTAATTACATTAATGCATATTAAACAGATTTTGTCAATTACCTTCATTTGAAAAGAAAGTTTTTTTTGCCTGCTTCAGATTCTGAATGTATGTTGTGGAAAGGGTACCTATACAAAATGTTCAACTATATACTACATTACACCACTAATACTCACTATTCCTTAATACAATGAGTAAAATAAAAATCAAACAATAAATATGATAAATACTCGTAAACAAGTTATACTATCCTCTCATTATTTTATTTATTTCTCATTAATTTCTAATTAAAAATTCCTCATTAAATATAGAAAAATTGAGTGTTTTATTTTGTGATTTTTACATTGATTAATATAGGACATGGTTAGGAACCTGTGGAAAACAGTATCTTATGAAAGTGTCTTACGTGAGTTTTATTATATATGACTTTGTTCAGTGCTTTAGTATCTTGATAATATAAATAAAATTAATTTTGCATTTTATAGACATGATAAAATTTTAGCCATTTTGTTGCCTTTTTTCAACAGATTCTCTGTGGTAATTATCGTGAGCTCATTTATAGTCCATAAATATAAGTAAAATCTTATCAATAGATGACGTGTAATCAAATCTAATAACAATATGCTTTGGTGAAAGGAAATATTTTTGTTTTGTTCAAGGAATTGACCAGTGTAAACTTACTTGACTTTCATCTAGAAAAGTAAACCATTATGTGATTTTCAGGAGTTTGTCATATTTGTGGCTAACTATTTTAGGTGTTCTTGATTTGTCCTTTTCATAAATCTGCATATTTCCCTTAATTTATCATCTTAACTGTTGTGTTGTTCAGTTAATAACATTTACCTAAGTACCTGAATATTATATCATTTTTCATCTAAATTAAAATTTATTTCTTTTGTGGGTAAAATTGTCGTTCAACTCTGCGTTTCTTAAACTATTTTATCCATGGAACCCTTTTTGCCTTTTACCCTTTTTTAGGTTATTTGCAAAAAAAATTATATTTATTTCATATAATAATATTGTGTTAAAGATATGTTCAAATAAAAATAATATTTTAATAATAATTACTTTAATTAGACTAAATATAAATATTAATGAGATGATTGAAATTGCTGTTTATTATTACAAATATTTTTAATATTGGGCTTTATTGATGTTGAAGTTGATGAAGTTGTAATATCATATTAGGTTCAGCTTCAAGTCTGTTGCAGGATTTTGTTTTTGTGGATACATAAGTAGAGAACCGCATCACACATATAAGCGGTTGCAAATGGTAAAAGTGCCAACATGGCTTTTTGTGACAATTGAGGATACTCCTCTTTTGAATTGCACCAAAATTCTGCTAATGGCATCGATTTAAATTTTTTTTGCAGCGATGAATCAGATATCATTTTAATAAAAGTTTTATATTCTTTTTCTAACATAGTTGAAGGTCGTGTATTGGCAATAAATAGATTTTTAATCCACAATTCATTTTTATATTTCACCTGTTGGTCATTTTGAAAATACTGGTTGAATCCTTCACTTAATCCAGTGAGGTGCTGAATAATTTCCTTAATGGAAACCTCAATTATTTTGACCCCTTCATCTTCCGAAAATTATTTAATTATTGGAAAGCAATCAAACTCGTTGGAGCTCTTACAAATTTTTCAAAAATTGTAACTTTCTTAAAAGCGTTAATTTTTTCATGAGCAGTAAAAACAGTTACTTGTTTGTCCTGAAGTGTGAAATTAAGCTCATTGATCTTTGTAAATAAAATCGCTTAAATAGGCAATTTTAAGTAGCCACATTTGATCACAAAATCAATTTTTTAATTCGAAATTGTGTTCTAAAAAAAAGGGGACGTACCTCGTCCCTTAATTTAAAAATATGAGTTAGTATGTTTCCTTGACATAACCACCTGACCTCAGAGAAGAAAAGTATGTACACTTTCCATGTCCTCACATAGAATTTTGAAGAAGCCGAGATTTTATGAAGTTTATGATTTTTACGACCTCATTAAGAGCTTTCTTAAAATTGGTAGATTACTTTTTTGCAGCGTGTGCCTGTCTATGTATCATACAGTGGCTACTAGACCAGTTGTTGGTAATATTTTTAATACGCTGTACAGCTCCATTAATTATACTATTCATAGCCTATACTCCATTGGTACAAATATCAATGTAGTTTTCCCATGGTATTTTATTTTCTTTAAGAAGCGAATGTAGAAGACCAAATATTTCAACTCCCGTAGTACGTGTTTAGTAGAGATTTGCATAAAAAAAGATCCCCCAACAATGTGCTTTCATGCTGATACCTAACAATGACAATTAATATTGCAAGCCCAGCCATATCGGTAAACTTATCCATTTATAATGCAAAATTTGCACGATTTTGAGATGAAAATTAAGTTCATTATATATATATATCAGCTGCTAAAGCATTGATACAATTAGCTACCGTGTCATTCGATAGTGGGATTTTAGATATTTCTTTTGCCAATTTTTCATCTAACATATATTTTACCATTTCCATAGTACAAGGTTTTATAAAACTTTCAGCAAATGTGTAAGCTTTTACCGCGTTGAGACATATGATAGCTAACTAAATAAGAAGCCTCGGTTGCTTTTTCATTCACGGTTTTTATGGTTTGAATCATACAGTTTATTATATAGTTCTTCACGTTTTCGAATAAAGAATTCTACATTTTAGCTGAAGCTATAGAACTTTGCTGCAAATAAAGCACTGAGGATTATAATTATTATTCATAAATCCTAATGATATGTGACTTTCATCATACTTCCCACATTTTTTAGTTACTTGCCTAAAACCTTTTGGGGTGATTTCATTTGTATCATTCTCATCATTACCATAATTATCATATTGAGTTTGATACAAAACATTCAGGTTCTGGAGTAGAACGCTTTAGAGTCCCTTTTTTGAGCCATCTCCATATTGCAACACAATAAAATTATAACAAAACGCACAATATCGTACAAAACACAGTGGACTGTTGTATTGAATCTTTGAAACTATTTTATTTGTTTATCTGTTTTTCAAAAGTTCACATTATCGCAAACGGTCGTGACCAATCAGTATTTTTATTAATAACATACAAATATTATTTCTATACATAAATAATAATAAATATTACTATACATTACTAGTACCTATGTACTTATATTTTTTTCGTTATCAACAGTTTCTCATAAGTTTACGCTATCGCAGACTGGCATAATTTATTATTATTTTTATCAACAACGTTCAAATTTTATTTCTGTATACTGTATAAACACTATTAGCACGCAATACATTCTAGAAGTATAAAGGTAGGCTATTCCATATTAAATATAGTGTATACAAATTTTTTTTTTCTACATTGCAACAATCTTTTTCCCCACTACTAATCTTTAGTTAGACGTTTTAAAGTAATTTTCTTGATTATTATGAAAAAAATGACTTAAAGCTTCGTGGAACACAGTTTAAGAAACGCTGGTCTAACCGAACAAAAACTATTAAAAATTTAAAACTTGATATGAAACTCAAATTATAACTTAGTGGAAATAGATATCTATGTAAAAGATATAGAAAACAGTATCTGTTTCTTTTTTTTTTCAGAGTGTTTTAAGATCAAATTTTGATGAAAAATTGTGTTTTATTCTATTTTCAGTTGAATTAATATCTTACTCGTGCACGTGCACTATTTGCAATTGTGTTTCTCATTAATCGTGTATTTATTATATAATATTAACTTATTATTGCTTTTTCTATGATGTCCTAAACACTTACCTTTCTTAACCATTATATTAAAATGCTACGCATCATTTGCTCAGATATGTGTCTAAATATGATTTTGTTTGGATGTTTTTGAAATTAGGTGATGGATAATGTGTTTAGTAAATACCGTATGGGGAATACAGATTTATTTTTCTCTTAAGATGGTAAAAATGCTTCAATTTAGTCATTGCAGTGTTTCTAAAACAAAAATTTTACCTATCATAACCTAATTTGTTTTTACTTGAATATGAAATCATTTTTCTTCAGTAAAATAAGAAGATATTTGTCTTACTATTAGTGTCCATATCTATAAGCAGACCTATAATTGGGTTTCAAAGTAGCTTACTTTATGTTACATTATTATTATATTATAATTGTAAACTTTGATAGGGGTTTTTTTTTTCTGAGAACGATTTTATAAATTAATTTTTAAAATTCAAATTTATTTCATGCTAATAGTAAATTGATTAGAAAATTATCGAATTAGTAACTATTTAAAAACATTTTTTTTAATTCCTAAATATTCAATAAACATAAGTTATTACATTGATTAAATAATAATAAAAATGAATAGTCAGTTGTGGTACTGTTGATCTTGTCAGTGCTTTCGTTATCGCTATCTTCATCTTAGTCAATTTAAATTTGTTATTAGATGTTAAAATAGATCTTGTTCAGTATAAATTCTGCATTTTCCTGTTTTTATTTATTGCTTCTATTGTCTCTTTTAATAACTGACCTATTGGAATAATTAGACATCACCAGGGTTCATAATTTAGTTATATAAAAGGTTGTTAAAGCGTAAAACCAATATGCTCTTAAGAATATTTAGAAATATACAAATAAAATATGTATGCACATGATAATAATAGGGTTGTAATTATAGGATTTTCCATATCGATATGATGACAGTCATACTGAATTGCAGCAGACAATAATAGAAACAAAAGTATGAAATATTCAAGACTATTTAAATTATTCTTATTATTAAGTATATTTTGAAAGCTATGGTACTGAAATACACAATATAAATCTTTGTATATAGCTTCTTGACTTCCTGAAAAAATGTATAGCTCACATAGGTGTTCAAAATCACTAAAAAAAAAAATAATTCAAATGCAAGTTATAGGCCTTGGTCGTCATCATCATCGATGCGAATTACATTCGGTTTAGCGAATTAAATTTGACATTTTGTGATATTATACCAAATAAATATGTATTAAAAGCAGTATATAAAAAAATTGTATTCATTTTGTTAAAACTTAAGTCAGCAGTTGTATTGAGCTATAGTGCCTAGTAATATCAACACGGAGAAAACAATAGCAAATCAAATTAAACATTCTTTTTTTGTTGTATATTTTAATTATGTTTCTAAATTAACTTTTAAAGAGCTGTTACTTGTCAATAGGAGTACTTCACTTTAAATTTATAAATATATTTCTTTTCTTAAGTACCCTACTACAGTTAGCAATGACAAGATAATAAATAATATAAAGTAATTTACTTTAAAACACCCTGTGTAAGTCTGCTTATAGTGATGGACACTAAAATTTAAAAAAAAAATAATGATTTCATATTCAGGTAAGTAAAAACAAAATTCTATTTGAAATATTGAGATGTCTTATTCAACATTATTTCACACAGTTACAAGCATGAGTAGTCTAGAATTCTGCTGATTCGTAGGAGACAAGTACTTAAGTAGACACTTCATAAATCATTGAGCGACTACAGAATCCATAATCGTAATTCATATTACTGAAAATGTTTCCTATCTTTTTCAGACAACTGCTTATCATATTTTGTTTACTATCTACTACCATTAAGCTGTTCTGATTGAATGTAAACTCCACTATATTATTTCCTATATTATCTTTAATTATAACTCACATACTAAACTGAATTGTCCGTAAAAAATAATATTAAAATCAACAATATTACCAATAAAAGAAATATGATTGTTGTACCATTGGTATAACACAAATTCATCAATAAAACCATAAGTATTCTGAAGGTAAATATGAATTATTTATTACACTGTTGGAAGTTTTCTGGCATATAATTTCTTGGGTGGGTATTCACAAAATGGTAACACAGGTTCATAAAGTAGATACAGATTATAGACTTTAATGGTCAAGTCTTTTAGAAAATTTGAATAATCAGCAAAAAAAAAAAATGGTCAAATTTTTTTTTTTTAGAATCTTTAATTTTGAATAAGATATGTGTTTTCATTCAAATATATTTTAATAAGTCTAGAAGGAGTTTTTGAGAAAAACTTGTGTATTTTGCATAATTCGTAATACCTACCTATCTCACTTCTCGTGGTATGATTTCAATTTTCATTTGTAAATTTACTTGATAAATGAAATAAAACTAAAGTAAATATGGTTTTAGAAAAGTAAATTATTGTATACTATGCAAAATGGTCAGAAAAAAAAATCCCCAAAACAACTATACTATCAATAATAATAATATTTATAAAAAGTTAACAGACATATCTAATTCAATTTTATTTATATTAATTATCTTCTAATCATAGTCATCTGTATGGAATTTTAGTCTATAGATTACAAAATAAACAATTGATTTTAGATACTTGGCAAATAATATAGCTATGCAAGCTTCCATTGAGAGAGTAAATAGCACAGTTATATTTTACAAATTTCTTTTTTGGAATATTTACTGTTATGTTTGCAATCTATAGACAAAATACCGTACGGATGACAATGATTATTATTACGGCGATTATTAATATAAATAAAATTGAATTAGGTATGTCCGTAAGCTTTTTTTAAATATTATTATTGATAGTATAATTATTTTGGAGATATTTTTTCGGATTTCCATTTTGCATAGTACAGCAAAAATTCCAAGAAAAAAATTGTTTAATATAACTATGCTTATTTACTCTCTCTAAAGAAGCTTGCATAGCTATAATTTTATTTGCCAAATATCTAAAATCAGTTGTTTAGAGTGATAAATAGTGGAATTGGAAAAATACATTAGATAAAAATTATTTAGACATATTTGGTATCTACACGTTATTAGTTACTGCATAGGTATTAGAGTTAGTACTTCTTCAGTTCCTGTTAAGTAATTTTGATCTGTGCGATTGAAACTATGGAAATAATTCCCGTAAGGAAAAAATAAAATGTGTTTTATGGTTATACCTTACATAAACCAAAATATTGCAAGTTTTTTATTAGATGGGAAGTATTCAATTTTTTTTTTATACATATAATTTTGACAGTATAGTTGCTTTGGGGATTTATTTGTAGGAATTTTTTTCCTGGGTATTCATGCAAAATACATTCACCAATTTATATGATGGTGGTTAAAATGCATTTTTCAACTATTAACAGCATTTGTCAAAAAAATATTGCTAGTCTTTGTTGGAAAATAAAGTAATTTTTCAACTAGTTAAAAGTTCTTATGCATATTCATTAAATGAAAATGAATATATGTTACTTTACATTGTAAATTAAGTATTATGTGATTACTGAATGATTTTTATATGTTATAACAACAGTTATCTACTAAGGTTGGAACTGTCGGTGTAAGTATTGAACTAAAAGTGCTAGTAGTAGTTGAGTTTATTTTTCCATATGAATTTTAAAGACAGTATCATAAAAACAGTTGCTTCTATCAAAAAAAAAAAAAATACTAACATTTCACCTTAAAATTAAAATAACTAAGAAAAAAACTACCACATAACGATATTATTTGTTCTTATTTTATAGTTTGATGAAAGGTCAATTCACTATAATATTAAAACTTAACACCACAGAGTTGTCCCTACTGAACAAAAAATTACTTATGCCATGCTGTTGTATGACGGAAACTGTAAATACAGCTATGGCATCATACAACAAATAAAACTACAGTATGTTAAAGCAGGACCAACTACTACCGCAACTGTTAATTCACCATTCATGACACTGACAGTTGTTGTAATGTATATACAGCATAGCACTGACTTTAGTAGATAACCATGATTAAAACATTAAAGAAAATGAAATATAACTTATCATTCATGATACTTATATTCATTTGGTAATATAGGTTAAAACAGTTTATTCAGTTTATTGGTAGATTTTATTTGAGGTATTTATTTGATTCCTTATTGATCAATAATGTATGTAAAACAAGTTATTAATTCAATAAAACTTATTGAAATTGTAATAGGTGTTTAAAATTTCATCATCAAATTCTTTGGATTAAAAAGCAAACTTAATTTATAAAAGTTGAATTAACTATTTAATTCCCAATGTATCCTTATGTATATAATAATAATAATAATAATTATTATTATTAAAACTGCACATAATTGCTTTCTATAACTCATTGAATAGTTCTCTTAAATTGTAAATATGATATATCATTTAAATTAGTTTACATCAATTATTGCCAATTGTTAATCCATTATATGAAAAGAAAAAAAAAAATTAAAATACTAATTATTCGTACTAATAGAACTAAAATCATAAATTAAAATCACCATTTGATGTGAGAAATCTATTTTATTTTTATTAAAGTGAGGTACTTTAGGAAGGTCATTTTTTGATTTTCCCAGTAGTTTTCTCAATAAATAGGGAAAAATGGGAAAATAGATTCATCCATCATACTTTCAGAATTGGCCTTTAAGAGGATAGGTGAGAGAAGAACACTACCTTCTCAAACTCCTTTTATAATTTGCACTTAGATGTTTCCCAATTTATCAAGATTACTACCTTTTTGATTTAAATGTAAACTTTTAATCAAATTTACAATTCTATTAGGGAATTGTTTTCGTTTGGACCTAACCTAACACCTAGAATATTTTTCCAACTAACTATCAAAGGCTTTTTCTTAATCTATGAAGCATATATATAAAGCTCTTTTTTGTTCTAACATTCTTTCCGCCATAAACTGTAATGTTCCTATTGCATCTCTGGTGCCTATATTTTGGTCGAAATCAAATTGGGTGTTTAAAATATTCTCTTCTATTTGTGCATCTATTTCTTCTTTAATTTAATTTAGTCATTATTTTATAATTTTCGTATTTGAAACTTAAATTAACTGCAAAACTAGTTGATTTCGTATATATTATCTAAATTTAATCATATAAAAAATTGAAAAATATTATATTACATGACTATACAGTCATGTAATATACCTACATCAATTTCATCTTTCTGGATTTTCATCTAACTGACTAATCTTTTGCGTAATACACACATGGTATTATGTAAATATTACCATATTTATAAATACTGCTGCAGATTTAAATATTTGTCCAGTTTTTTTGACTGACCATATAGTTTAGAGAACAGATTAAAATATGGGTCATATTTTTATTTTTTATTTTAATAAAATAGATGTGTTATTTAGAAAACTTTACCTACATTTGTTGTTTCATTTCTACTAACAGACAACAGCGAAAACATGCTTCTATTCTATTGCCTAATTTTGGTTACCGAGTAAAAACCACATAGTATAGGGAGAAGACGAGGTAATGTGTTTTTTCATTAAAATCTCAACATTCTTAAATTAATGTAACTTAGAAAAAAAAAAAAAAATTACGTATTGTCTTTCCCTCTGGAGTATTTTCTATTTTTAATTTTATAAAATGTGTTTTTACTCTAAAACCAAATCGAGAAAATCTTGTGCCCTGTAGACATTTTTTCCCTATGTTTCCCATTAGTTATGCTGATGAGATATCCCAATATATGATTGTGGTGTCTTCATAGTACAGTGATGACAAACAGAGGGCTGAGATTTTAAATTTTTACTTTTTGGTTAATAGAAAATTATATTATATTGTAGGTACAGTGATTTAAATGAGAAAAGAATATAAAGTATAAACAATCTGATAGGGTCTTTCAGTGGTTTCAACTTAATAGTAAATAAATAAACCCCTACCCTATTTATGGACAAATTTCAAAATTTCTTAGAAAGTATTGTATTATTATAATAATTAAATGTTAATATTGTAAAATTATATCACGTTAAGAGTAAAGTTAGTAACAGTTAATGGTTGATAGATAAGTACTTGATGATTAGAAATAAAGAAAAGAGGGATAACTTGTTAGACAATAAAATGGCTTTGTTTTCTTTTAAATTGTTAATGTGTGTGTTTTTAAATTTGTAACTAATACAATTTTAATGATTTTTTTACTATAATATGAGAAGAAAATTTAAATAAATATATATATAGGAAATTGTAAAATTTGAACTTAAATTAAATATGTATTAATACTAAGTTGACCTACATTTAGGGAATTTTATAATGGTTCAAATATTGTCTTGTCAAACTCTCGAATTATGTATAACTTAAGTGTTAAGTGATGGAATTGTGTTAGAAATAAAAAATAAAAATGTATTATTTTATTTCAACATTTACATAGATTAAGTAACAATACATAAATGTTATTTTATTTTATAATAATAAAATCACTTTCATTATGTGTTTGATATATAAAATACTTTAATAAAATTATTAAAAATACATTTATTTACAATTTTTATAATCTACTCAATTAAGGTAATTGGTTTTTCATTACCTGTTGACAAATGATTTTTTAACATTTACATTTAAAACTAAACATCTTGTGGAAAGGTTTTTGTATTTTCTATGGTTCCTATTTCAGCTTCTGCTGGTTGGCTCTGTTTTTTGATACAATTCAGTCTGAAAAATTGTACATAATATAAAGTTTTTTAACCGGTGATATTATATAATAACTAACCTTATTAATAGTAGTTTGAATGCACAGCATAGTATGGTGAGCATTAAGAATCCCAATGCTGATATTATTCCTAATAACAGGGCATTGATCTTGATATTGAAAAATACCCTACTGTCCAGATGTATTTCTATAGTCTTTGAATCATTTCCATATTTATTTGATACATAGCAGGTATAATTACCAATATTGGTTCTCAACATACGTAAAATATTTAAAGACCCATTTTTTTCTGTTAAAAGTGATTGACTAACTATTTGGTTAAGATCCCAATTATGCACATTAGGGTGGTTTGATATATTTCTATCAGCTTCTTTATTTTCATGAAATGTCAAACCCCCTGGCACTAACCATGTTACGGCTGGATATGGATTTCCATAAACCATACAATTAATAATTCCCTTTTTAGTTAGTTGTAATGTACTTGAACCACTTACATGATATATCTGTGGCGGGCAATCAAGTTTTTTCAAGTTCTCAATAAATTGAGTATATCCTCTATAGCCAACAACATTATTTGTTTCATTGGTAAACCATTGGCTAAACCATCCATTATGACAATTTGGTTGAATTTCCGTTTCAAACATTTGCACACTTTTTAGGTTTTTGAGAAAAACTATATTAGAAGGAAAAAACTGTATTGTATTACAGTTATTGAGTTGTATTGTTTCAATGTTGGAAGCTGAACTAATAAAATCATTGTCGATTAATTTTAAGTCTTTGCAGTTATTAAGTAAAATTCTAGTTAAATATTTATGTTCGCCGAAGGCACTTTTTTTTATATTTTCAATTTTACTGTTTTCAATACTTAAATATTCCAATTTATCCAAATTAGACATTGCGTTATCATCTAAAGTTTTAAAATTTGGATTGCCTATGCTTATGTTTTTCAGATTGATGGTTTCTTTAAATACATTTTTTGAGATTGAATGAAAAATATTGTTTTCTATCTTTAGTGTTTCTAATAAATTTAAATGTAAAAATAAATTGTCTGATAAAATTTGCAGCTGGTTGTTAGACAAGTCTACATACTCTAATTGTGGACAGTTATCAAATACGCCATCTGCTAGTTCAGAAATGTTGTTCTTAGATAAATCCAAATACTTCAGATTGTTGTGATGCAAAACTTCCACATTGGTTATTTTGCTCGATATCCATGTAATGCTTTGTAAATTTTTTCCATTATTAAACGTGTTTCTGTTTATGACTATATTTGGCCCTATTGATTTCACATCTACAAAGTGTACTATCATAGTATCATTAGGCAAGATAAACTGCAGATCACTTGTAAATTCTGAACACGATACATTATTATTGTTGCAAATACACTTCTGGTTGTTATAACAAATAGTCGTGATATCCAGTGTATTTATAAGCTTATGAAGAATTATTGTTGTGAAAAGTATCGTAAAAGAATACATTTCAAGTTATCTGAAACATAAGCAATTGAATGCTTAATATAATGTCTTAATATATTTTAATAAATTGGGTGTTAATACTTCGTTAATTGTTGTCCGTGCTCACTCATACGAACTTTTTTTTATAATCGTGGTTTATATTATTACAAAACTCATTATAACAATTCTCGTAATTACCTTTTTATTTTGTGTGTGTGACCAGTGTCTTTTGGATCTCATTGGTTTCGGATTGTTGTAACGTTTTCCCCGGTATATAAATCAAACGAACGGTTATTTATGATTATCGAGTCGCCAACCATTTGGAACGGAAAACGAATAGATTTAAATGGCTACTAACGTTTCACGGTTAATGGTAATACCGAATAGCGTAACGTCATTTCACTAAACTCTCGGATCTCGTTACCTCCCTCCCGTAGAAACTTGATAGTGGGGTATATTTTTTTATGTACCCAGTGCTGCCAATATATACAGTTTGACATGTCTCCTCCTCGAGTCTTGTGTGTCGTTCGCAGTGTTACACGTTTTTGGGATAACCGTGATTCAGTTCGTGACAAGTTGACAATAACGATGGGGCGGCCAATGGCGCTAAAGTACAATAGTCATTATAGTGTAGTATAATTAATAGGTTTTGGATTTTTATTGTAACAGTAATATGTATGTATTTATGGACTAAAAATCATAAATTATGCATTATCAGTATTTAAAAACACCAAAATGTGTACTCAAAAAATTTAATTTAGCTTAAGTATTTAATTTTTATAGATTGTTATTTTTATTTATTAATTTTTTAATTTGTTAAAATTGTATACTTTTTTCATTTATATTTCTTTAATTATTTAAATTGTTTCTAGAAAACGTTTAAAAGTACTGAAATATGTATTTATATTTTTAAAATAGGCATTTTAAATACAAAACATAAAACACAAATAAATATGCGAAATAAAAATAGTATTATTTGATTGAACATGAATCAAATTTGTCTGCATTAAATTGGACAAACAGAAAAAATATGCAATTTCATACATATTTAAACCCTAATAATTAATAATTATACTATGATATTATAATAATATTTATGAGGTTTAGTAAAACTAATGATTAATTGTTGTATAATCCCAACAAGTGTATACATTGATATTTATACGAATATATTACAAATAAAAATTAAATTATTTTAGGTATTTTTTATCTTTTAAAAATACATTATAAAGGGTGTTCACTGTGATTTTTATTTTAGAGCTTAAAATTAGAGTTCACTTAAAATAGTTATTTTAAAATTAAGTAACAATTTGGTATCCAAATTTTTGTTATTTAAAAAAATCACATTAAAACTATAGATCAGAATATTCCGACTTTCATCCCATAATTTAAAAAAAAAAAACCAAAAAAAAATTTTAAAATATTGATATTATTCTAAAAAGTTGTGTATCATTGCCACAGTTTCTTAGTAATAGCTATTATATTTATTTCTATAGAAAATGTGATATTACTGAATAACATAACGGGGAGTAACTTGATTTATGTGCTGTTGATATAAATGTATGTTGCATTAAAATGTTTTGAAATCTTTTACATGATTATTATTTTGAAAATTTAGTGGTTTATATATATATATATTTTTTTCCTTTTGTAAGTAGGAGATACAAATAAACCTTTAATTATTCTCTAAATAGGAAATTAAAAAAAAATCTGGGACACTGTATGTAGTAATGTAATCTTTGAAACATGAGGTTTGTTATTTTTATTATTCCAAATACATATCGTTTCTATTAATTAGTTAAATATTAACAACAATAACATACAAACCTCTGTCAAAGTCTGATTTATAATACCATTATACCATATTAGGTAATTATGTATATAATAGGTTTTACTGCCTGTATTATTAGTATTCTGTTATAAAATAAATTATATTGAATTTTGTTATTTTTAATTCTATAGAATTTAGTAAAAGTGAGTTTAAGAAACCTTTTTGACATCCAATGGTATCCATAGTACATTAATTTATTTTTACTAATGTTCACTATACAATTAATTATGGCATTATAGTCTTAAAACTAATTTTTAACAATACACTTAAAACATCAGTTAAGAATTATTTTGTCATTTATTTGGTACATTAATTATTAGTATTTTGACCATTATTACCTAATCTTCTATAAATATTTTGTTTTTTATAACATAATTTGTATAAATAATTTTATCCATTCAGTGATTACATTGTTTCTACTATTTTTATTAATCATGTAAAACAACTTGTTTTTATAGTATAATTGCATTGCTTTAATTATAGTGACTTCTTAAAAGTGCCTATCAACTTACAAAAAGTGTATTTATCTGTTAACAACTAATTGGTAATTTGTATTGTTATTTATTGATTTTAGAGAAAATCATGTATAAATCAAAAGCATATTTAAAGCAATATAAAAAAATCAAGTGTTTTGATCATTTTGTTTGTGTAATATCTACAGAATTATTCAGTAAATAATTAATATGTTTATAATAATTGTAGCTTTTAAAATAGTTTTTATTTTTATGTTTCATTTTATAAATTCCGTGACAATATTGGTTGTTATGTCAGTTGATAATGATGTAATCTATTATTTATCTTAATATAATAACTGTGTTGACAGATGAATAATTGGATAATAAAAAATTAATAGGTACTATAATAATATTAATAAAATTATTTAGAAATATTTATGTTTTACTAATGTTTATTTTATTATGTTATGGTAGTCAATTTAATGTGTTCTAAATTATAATAACATCTTATTCAGAACTATGAAACTGCAAATTTGATTATAATTCATACATTGTTTTATTGTTATATTATTTTAATGTATATTTTTTTATTTTACAGTGTGAACAATTTGAACAAATTGGTGCTACTTATGCATTAACTCCATCTGATGTAGTTACTGAATCGGATATAATATTTTCTTGTGTTTCCGATCCACAAGTTGCTAAAGATGTAAGTATTTTTACATAATTAGTATTATTTATTTTTTTGATTAATTATGGTTATTTTTGTAGTTGGTATTTGGAAATTGTGGAATACTTGCTGAAATAAAGGAAGGGAAATCATTTGTGGAAATGAGTGGTATTGATCCAGAAACATCTCACGATATTAATGAGGTATATAGGTTTACTTTAAAATTACTTTTGCTTGTTTTTACAAGTACTGCTCATTAATAACCTCATTGCATTCATTATTTTGACGTTTGTTGATACATTTTATTAATGCATTTTTTCCTAGTAATAAATTAAAGACTTCAAAACTTTTACAGCTTATATGTTTCATGTCCAATGTCCAAGGGTTTTTTGGGTGTTTTCAGGTTGTTTTAATGTAGATCTATAAATATGTTTTGTTCAATACTTTTATTTATTTGATTTGTGTCCATAATTTATTATATATATATTTGTTTTAATTTGTAATACACATCACAGCATACATATTTCATACTTAAGCAGACACTATATTTTAAAGAATATAATATTCTATTGACTATAATTTGACAAAATATTCCCTTCAACACTAACACACAGATTGACATACTGTCATGGACAAAAAAAATAGTGGATATAATATAATTGCCAACCAATTTTTAAACTATCAAATTTGATTCCCAGTATTGTATAATTGTTATACAATAAGTTTAATGTTATTCATTCTTTCTTTTAGGCTGTTACAGAAAAGCAAGGTCGTTATATGGAAGCTATGATCCAAGGAAGTAAAACTGAAGCAGAATCTGGGAATTTAGTTTGTATGGCTGCTGGAAATAAAGAATTATTTGACGATTGTCAGTCAGTATTTTGTGCCATCGCTAAAAATTCATTTTTTTTAGGTAGAACCACTATTTTGATAAATAATGTATTTTTTTTTCTGTTGGATTACAATGACAGTGTTAATATTATTATTTACTTTCTAGGTGAGATTGGGGCAGCCACTAAGATGAATTTGGTTTTAAATACGATCAAAGCCGTATCTATTGCAGGATTGGCTGAAGGCATGGCTTTAGCTGATAGAGCTGGTATACCAGCAAAAGATGTGATAGATATTTTAGGAATGACGTCATTGAAATGCCCACTATTGCTAGAAAAAGGAACAGGTATTCATTATAATGTGACTTATTGATTTTATATTTCGATTAAAACAATTTTTTTTTTAATTAGCGATGATGGATAACAATTTCCAAACACATCATGCTTTAAAACATCTACAAAAGGATTTAAGTTTATCGCTAAATTGGTCAGACATGTTAGAACAACCGTGTCCAGTTTCAGCAACTGTTAATGAAGTCTTCAAACATGCAAAACGTCTAGGGTATAGTGACCACGACACCAGTTCAATTTATGTTAGAGCCAAATTTTGATTTATTTTTTTTTATATATATACATATACCCTTAAATTTGTCTTCTTTTTTTCCATTACAACACTTGAAAACATAATTTTTTCAATAACAAATGATTGTAGGATATTAATTTAACATTTTTATTTAATAACCAAAATATTGTACATATAGAACTGTGAATATATTTTTGCATCCATCCCATAATTATCATTAATATAATACAAAACTAATAACCATATACAACTTGACTTAAGCTTAAATAGATCTAAGTTTAACATATTATAATAATTAATTGTTTGTATATATATATATACACACGTATATGAATGTATTAATTTGTTTACAATTATTTATGATAATCGTGATTATATTTAAAGACAATAGAAAAAAAGAAAGTAACCTAACATTAAATTTGTTTTATTTTTATAAAAATTTAAAATATTTGTAACAAAAAAAACATGATGTATTTACAAATTATAATATTATATAATACTTGAATATTAAAAAAATTAGTGGGTTAAGTTGAATATATATTATATTTAATTATAAAAATTTAAAAAATAAATACATGCTAAAAATTAATTTTAAGGGTTAATTTGTATACTTGTAAATAATAACCTGGTTTTTAAGCATAATTGGTAGATTACTGGTTTAAGTATTACAATTAATTATTTATAGATCAATGTAAATTATTTTATTATTATTATTATTATTATTATTTTATTATTATTATTATTATTACTACTTTATAATATAGAGATATATTTTTTTCTAGTTCATACATCTTCAAAATAAACCAGAAAACCGTAGATGAACCTTAGAAATATTAAATAAGTATGTAAAGTAATATATTTATCTGGTATTTTTAAGTCATAAATCAATAAATTAGATTTCTTATTTTATTATTTAAAACAAATATTCTATTTAAATGAATGGTTTTATTTTTCTTGGTATGAAAAGAAAATTAATAATTTTTATTATAATGAAATCATTACAAAATAAATTCAAATATTTTGACTTACGTCACATCTTGCCTGATTATTTTTACAATTTTATTACGAATTAGGAAACAAATCTTAATTATATAATACCATTTATCCACATGGTTCCAAAATTAAGTAGTTAATTAACATGTGAGAAAAAATAATTATAAGTTGTTCGTGATAATAGTATTTAACTACAACATTTTACATATTTTGAATAATATAATTGGATTTTGTATTTATTTTAATGGAAAGAAGTATAATAATAAAAGTTTAATAATATTTATAAATTTAAAATATTGAAATTAATTGAAAGTGTACTGATTGGTTTTTTTAATCACATACACACACATATATATATATATATAATTGACCAATAAATATATATAAATAGTTTTGAATTAATAAAAAGTATTTTTTCTACAACTGTAAATGTACACAAATTGTTTTACCGTTAATCGTTGACCCATGGTCATGCATTAAATTGTTATTATATATTCTGTATGAATTTATGTATTAATTTAGTTATTCTTTTCAGAGGTTCCCTAAAACATTTATCTATTTTTAATTTCCAAAAAACTCAGTTTCAGTTAGGAAATAATTATGATTTTAAAATTGTATGTAAATCATACATAAGAGAGAACCATTATTATTAACTATAGAATTGGGCAATTCTGTTTTAACAAGGGTAGATTACATTAGAGACTTGGAAATAATTTTTGTAGATAAATTTCCTTTTCTCGGCTCATTAATTTATTAGTAATACTTTCAAGATTCTGGGTTTTGTTAATAGAATACTAAAGATTTTAAAAATATTAATCCTTGAAAAATGTTAAATTTCTCTCTTGTTAAGTCAAAGTTTGAGTTTGGTCCGCTAACTATGTGGCTTTTATTAATCTTATTGAATATGTTCAATACAATTACACTAAATCCATCAATTATAAATTAAATTTTAGTCTATCTTGGGGTTCTTATCATTTACTATCTTCTCAACTATGTATTACATATTGGGATCTCTAAAGAAAAGTTATTGATTTAATGTATTTATTTGATCTGTTTAATGAAATGTTAATTGCCCAAAGTTACTTTCAATGGTTAACGTTCACACTATTCATATCTGCTTCAGGATTAATAAATTGTTATATGTTAAATTTTTACCAATAATTATAGCTCAGCATCATATTTTCTTCAAGTTTGTTAGCAAATAAATTACCATGTTATACCATGTTCTATGTTTTTTTGTTTTGTCTCGTGAAGTTTTTAAGTATAATGTATATAATGCGTTAACTAATTGTATGCTGTAATTTCATTTTTGTTCTATTTATTTATATTTTTTTGATTATTATTTCATGAATTGTATTTTTAATTACTTGTGCTATTCATGATTTTTTTTTTATTTTGTTAAAGGTTTTTTCACCTGTATAATTTAAAAATGATTAATATTTGATACAAGGTAAAACTTCTTTATAATTAAAAGAAAATGAGCCGTTTTTATTTCAAATTTATGATGAAATATATTTAAAATAACTGTATATTATTTGTTAGTTACAAATTTTAACACTATATATTATTTTACCATTTTAAATTTACTCCTATCGAGTACTTAACTGAAAACACTGATATTTTGGAAAATATTAATTATTTTCAAAAATTTTTTTTGAAAATTTAAGAAACAAATAGTTCTAAAATGTAATGTTATGTAATGTTTGATAGTAATATATCACTAAAAAAATTTTATGACAAAATATAATTATAATAATTGTTCTACATTTTTTATGTTGCGTACTTTTTTTAAAAACTTATAAAAAGTTTCTTCAGAAAAATTTGTTTTTTCAGATAGGTTTTTCTAATCAATTAACAAAATAATTTATGCAAGTATTTATAAGCATTTTTAAAAATATGAAAAACGTAATATGTGTATTATATTATTATTATAGTACTTTTTAATATTATTATAATCATTAATAAAATGTGAATTGAAATATTATGTAATTTAAATACAAGAATATTGTCTGTGCAACATTGGTGGTATATTTTCGATTAGGATAGGTATTTTATATTATAGGCGAGATAAAAGCATTATAAAATTTCGATACTTCACATCACGGTCTCAGAAGATAAGGTCGTACAACTATACCTTATAAGCATTCCGCTTAATGATGCAAATTCATTTCCAAGTTGTACCACTGTAAAATTGAGCGCTGCTCTACAGACTTATTTTGAGATTATGACTTTATACTACTTTAAAATAACCATGAACCATAGATATATATATATTTTACTGACAGATATATATATGTATAGTTTTATATATCTATGATTATACTAGATAGTCGACTCCGTATATTATTGTATGATTAGATATAACGTCAGCCACCATTTGTTAATAGGTTAATGTTTGCTAAAATAGACCTTTATTTGAAAATACCTATAGGATATATTTACCTATATTATGATATCCACAATTCCCAAATTATTCCAATTAAATAGACTTTGATATTTTTTTTCATGTGAATTATTAATATATTCATCCAAGAATTGTGTTTTAACTAGTACCTATGTGTATTTTTGTATTCTAAAAAAGTTTATTTTTTTATGTATAGGTATTTTTTATTTTTGAGAATTTGGCAATTATTTAAATGTCTATTATCTTTCTTTTTTTTCTTATTTTCGTGTTGCGAAAATTGCCTCATCCTCATTATAATATGATACATCACATTAAATGAAATTACATCCCCACCATGACTTGGACATCGTAAATTTATTGTATTTTCAGACATAAAATCTGTGATGATGAGTTCAAATGCATACGTGGATGAAGAATGTTTTATGAAACTATGTACAATTTTTTTTGATGAAATCAAAAAAGAAAATGTTTGGATGTATCAATCGTCCCTTCGTTTTAATGTTGACTAATGAAGAACACATTTGTTCATAATAAACTTTTGGTGTTACAAAAGCTGACTTACAAGTATATTCCAATCATCAATGTATTTCAACATTTGTTTAAATAGATACCGTATAAAAGTAATTAATTGATTTTTAATATTTAATAACATTTTACATATAATAATTAATGGTAAATGTATTACAAATATTTTGTTACATAACAGTCAAATAATATATTAAACAATCTAATTATTTCAGTCTTTGTATAATTGTGTTAAACAACTTCACTAAATTCTCAATCTTTCTCTTCTATTGTTTTATTAGTTTTTACATTTAAATTTTCAACTAAATTTGAATTTTTTGGTTTATAGATACCTTTTTATATATCGACCTATCCACACCTGTATGTATTTACTGAGCAAATATAATTTTCTAATTTATTAACAATTATTTTGATCTTAAATATTGTAATAGGCGGGAGGGTAGGAAGTTGTTTGACCTTATTTTCTAAAACCGTGCTTCACATACTTATATCTCTGATAAAATCTCAAACAAATAGGTAGTTAGGCTAATTATATATTAAAACTAATTGCACAAAGCTATCCTTTCTTAACTGAAATTGTCTATGTTACGGTTTGTTGGACGGAGACAGCATATAAGCTTAAGAAAAACTTATGAAGATTTGAAGTTTGTATCTCCTCCCCTTAGTAACCACTAGCCAATATAATACAATAATACACACTATTGTTATCGGTGTAATATTAGAACCATGGAGAGAAATCATGGGCTCCAGGGCGACAAACTAATCCCTCCTAATGTTAAATATTAAACTTTCCACCAACACCCAGCATCATTCTTTAATATGTGTATAACAAGAATAAGGTTTAAGATTGAGGTATAAAAGATATTTAAAAGCACGAAACGTGCTGTTACTATAACACATAGTATAATATGGTACAAAGTAATTACTATTTTATTAACATTTAATTGTTAAAATAATATGTATTAAATTTGTAAAGTAAAATATGTATAATTAAACTACACAAATCATTTCTATATCAATGTAAAAATTAGGTAAAATATGGGACCTGGTTGCTTTAGTTAGGCATGGGCACTAGGCTTATAGCTCCCGTTGCTCTCACCTCTAGTCGGGTTTAACAAGTGAAATAACAAAACTTCAAACATATAAATTGTATTAATTTGATTTTTGTCTTGCTCTCACAGATCTTAGTTACTGAGCTGCACATTATATAAAATAATATTATGTTTGTACACATATTTAAATTGTAAACTTATTAAATAGATCCTTAACATAGTAATAATGTAAGTAGGTATAATATAACCGCTATACACTGCACATTCTACAATATCAAACAGGAAACCTTTTTGAAATGTGGCACCCATACACGAGCTGTAGAAGGTAATTTCCCTTTGTCAACTAAGTGAAAATTGTAATCTATATGTTGAAAATTATATATACAGGTTAAATTAAAAACGGTTGGTAAGTAGATACCTACATATTATAACTTATAGTGAATGCGTTTTAGGTGTATCATAAACTTATAAACCATTCTTATATAACAATAATTGTGCTTTCGGAGAGAAGTTGGAAGAAGGATATATCGTGTAATTTAATTAATATCTGTACGCAACGATAAACCATTGCTGACGAAAATCAATTCTGATCAGAGTATTATTTATCTTATGTTTTATCTTGTCAGCAAGGCAACCTAGAAATCAACAAAAAATGTTCAGTTTTCCCATTTATTAAGAAAACAACTTAGAAAATCAAAAAATGATTCAATCGTTTAATTCGATTAAAAATGCTTCAATAGGTATACATTTTACATTTTTTATTTGAACCAGATTTCTAACAAAAAAGTTGTAATAGACTCACACAAATAAAAAAATAATAATACATCAGTAAAACCAAAAAGCTATTAAAAATGCACTAAAAATTGGAAAAGTAGCAGAAAAATACTACAAAAAGTTATAACATTCGAAGTATCTATTATATACACTCATTGAACCATATGAACTACAATGCACTTGGAAAAGCAACACAACATAAAACATATTTTAACTTACATAACATTCATTGATACTCTGGATTTGTTTTGTTCGCGAAATTGAATAGCAATTATTCCAAACATTTGTCGTGTATACATTTATGTGGAATTTAAGTTGTAAGCCAACGGTTTAAAGGAATCATTATTATCGTCAATTATTATTTAAGTATGTGATCTTTCCCTTTATTTTTGTTTCTTTACCCTTTCATAAGAATACATTCTCTGAAAAATCTCTCTTCTGAATTTATTTGCAAATGAATTTGAATATTCTTGAGTTAATAATATTATATTTTTTTTTTCTTTAAACATTTCGTTATTAAAATTGACCTTTAAATAATTAACGCATGTAGTATAGAAAATTGCAATATACTGTAAGTAGGTATAATTGGGGTGACGATTATAATGATGATGGTGTATTTAATAAGGCATAAAATTGGTTTCGTGCCTAAATATATAAGTATAGTAGCCTACGATTCGAGGAATTAATGCACACAGTTCAGTCGTCTTTCTGTCTGCACGTATAATAATATACGCTCGTGTAGCTATTTATGTAACCTTAAACTCCTCTATAGTTATTTACTGTCGGACTATTATTTTTATCTTCGTGGGTTGTGTTATTGGTTTCATTATGTTTGTTCGCCTACTTTTGTTTTTTTAGTGTACTTGTATAGATATTCGAAATAGAAAGTGAATGAGATGATACCTAGTGGCAGTGTTGAGAAACTCTAACTCGTGGGGCCACTATCCAACTGATAACATTTATGATGTGCATTTTTGAATTTAAAATTATAATCATAATCGTAAATTGCTTTTCATTTTACCCAATTTTAAACCATACCGTATGAAATATATAAACTTACTATGAAAATGAATCACAATTACTATACAAAGATATCGAAAACCAAAAAAAAAAACATAGATATTGTAATGTTTCACAATGCACAGCACGATGCATATACTATATAGTATAATTTAAATTTTACTATATTTTAATATTATTTCGATTTAAATAAAATAAATATAATAACTCTAATTGATATTAAAATTATCTTAATAAACAATACCAAAACGATGTGAGTTTTAACATATTTCCTAATAAATACGCTCTGATGAAAAAATGGCCGCATACATTAAAAATGTTGCTATTAATACTATAGTTGTGTGTAATAAATATTTTATAAAATTCAGTTTTCTAAAGTATATAAAATATAAAACAAATAGTTTTAACAAAAATACATATTACATTAGTAGGTAGATTAATATAGTTGAAATGAATTCATCTTTGCCAATTTATGAGACTCATTTGCAAGTTTTGGTTACTGTAAGCAAATTTATAGAGCATATATAAAATAATAATGAATAATCTACGAATAATACATATATTTTTTGTGAATATTCAAATAATATTTTATGTGTTACTTGGGCTAATACTTAGTATGGTGACACGACAAAATATCCCGGTAAAAATATTTCCAACAAAATATCCCCACAAAAATATTCCATGTCGAAAAATCCCGCGTAA